AAGTGGGCTGTCCTTGAAAAGAGTTGATCCCCAGGGTTGTTCTGCTCCATATCCTCTGCCAGCATAGGCCTGATGTTGGAAAACTTCTTTGGCAAAACATAGCCCTGGTTCATCTTCGTGTCGACCTTCCATTTTCTTCTCTTGGCTCATGGTGTTGGCTGTGGTGCTGTGGAACTTGCACCGTGGTGAGGCAAAAATGACAGCTGGCTCCAGGGTCTCAGGGTCTCGATGACTTTCCAAAGCTTTCGTTGATGGTCACGGTCATTGAGATCCACTGGAAAAGCGGTGTGTAGACCTGCCGTAGCCATCGTCAGTGAAAGACGCCCTGAGCCAGAGTAGAGCTCGAGGAAATGACAGGCTGGTTGACCATGCTTTGAAGTCACTTCTGAAAGCCATCTGTCCACATTGTCTGGTGTGACTGGACGTCGTCCTGTCTGGGTGTAGAATTCCTCTGGCATCGCCTTGTGCTCGTGTCTGAAGTCTTTCAACTTCTTCTCATCTTGGAAAGGAAAAGAATCGCCACAGTATTTTGGCATCCATGAGTAAAGCTGACGTTTCTGTGACCAGTAGGTCTCCAAATCATCATGAAGTAGAAAACATGTTCTCCCAGTCCATGGCCGTCCAAGATCACTGTGTGCTTTGGCTGGATTTTGTCCATGAGTCCTCAATGACCCGGTCTGTGTCGCCATCTGTGGAAAAGTGAACTTCTGTTCTTCTTGATTCAGATGACGAAATCTTCTCAGCTTCTTAAGAGGTACAGGACACGTCTTTGTGCAAAGCGGCGTGTACAAGGTTCGCCGTCAGGCTCGATGTTCTCGCACAAGCCATTGACCAGAAATGGTCCAGGTGTCCTCTTGACGATCAACAGGTCTGGTGAGGCTGCCATGACATGTCTTGGAGGTTGATGATGGCACTGCTCCAGGTTCATCATGATCTGGATTGTCATGTTCTGGGTCATGTTCTTGACAAGGCTCATCATCATACATCAGTGGATCTGTGTGACAATGGTCCTTGAGACATGTCCCTTCACCATCTGTGCAGCGTGATGACCCTTGAATTGGTGTTGCACGAGATATGGTCTTGGTTATCGCACTAGAAAAAGTCTCACTCCGATCTGTCTCCGCTTGGTCTTGTTGACATAGGAAGAAACAGTGTCGGAGTTGTGGTGGATCATGTGGCCATTGTTTCATGCTCTGATTGATGGCCCTTTGGTGAGGAAGGAAACCTTCTTGTGGGTGTCGGCAGGTTGTTGGTCTGGTCCTTGCCATCCACTGGTAGTAGATAATGTCCGGAGTCGGTGAGCAAAAGTCGAATGAGCACCGGCTTCTTGTCTGGACCCAGCATCTCTTCACGGTGGATAACTAGAAGACCATCTCCATTGGAGAACCATTCGCTGTCGAGAGCTGCCTTTTGTTGTCCCAAAGTGGGATTGCCAACTAGTGTAACTAGTGCCGGGCAAAGTGATCCGGCTCCTCCAAGAACGTCACCTCGGTAGGATATGTCTCTGTTGGACGTTGACAGCTTCAGCATGACCTCTCCGAGAGTTTCATCAGCTTCTCCAGAAAATCCTGCAACGCTGGTTGTCTTCTGGCTCCATGAGACATGGTCTTGTTGACGTTCTCGTGGTAGGCAATGTTCCATGATGTCCTTCAACGTCTCTGATCCAATCAGGCCAGAGGCAGCATCAGGATCAATCAGTAATCCTCTGCGCTTCTCACCTTTGACGGTGTGGTAAGTGGCTTCTTCATGACCTCGAAGGAACATTGCAAAACTGAGCGCCTTCTCAGGTTTGTCACAGCTGGTTGAGGAAGTCGGTCCATCAGCAGTATCTGCAGGAGTTGTCTTATTCTTGGAGGGCTTCTGAATGGTTGTGAGATCTTCTGGGTCAGCATCCAACCGATAGTAGCTGGTCCTTGTCGTATCGGTAGTTGGTCTGGAGGTTGCTGATCATGATGAAGGAAAATCCTGACGGACGTAGTTCGTGTCAAGTGGTGGACGAACATGGTATGCAGAGTGGTCATAGTCAGCAAAGGACTTGCCCTTGCCTTTCTTGCCATATCTCTTGCCGTACCCTTTTCCACCACCATAGCCCTTGAATTTTCCAGACCTCCAGGAGTAAGGTTGTCGGAAGCCATAGCCCTTGCCCTTCTTGCAATAGCCTTTGGAAGGTGATCGAAACTTGCCGTAGTTCTTGCCTTTGCCAAAGGGCTGGCCTTTGCCTTTGTCAGGAAGGTTGACAGGGCATGATGTCGATGAGTGCCATTTGCTTCCGCAGATTGCGCATCCAACTCCCATGGCATTCTTGCCTTTCTGATTGCCATTGTAGAAGTCCTCAGTGGCTCCGTCAGTCGTTGACTCGTTGGTCTCCGCGTTGGCATCGTGTGGAACATCACCTTGAGGCCATGACTCAGCGTCGTAGTCATAGTAGTCATTGTCCCAGTAGCCATCATCTTCGTACCACCAGGCATCAGAGGCTGCATGATCGTGCCAAGTGGGTTCAACTTCACCTTCATAGCAGCTCCAAGTCCAATCACTATTCCACTCGTCAGCCCATGGTTCATCGGCTGCTTGCCCTTCCTCATAGAAGACGTGGTCGTGATCATCTTGTCCACGCTGGCTGAGGCGTAACGCCAGAGTGCGGGCTTCAGCAAACCGTGCAAGATCTCCATGAAGTTGCAACTTGATGTCTTCTATGAACTTCGTTGGAAGGCCACACTGTTTGAAGAAGAGGTAGAACTTGGCAACGTCATTCAGGTGCAAATTGCTCCTGGTTTCAGCTTCATCATACCGTAGATCCCACTCCACGGAGTACTCTTGCAAAGACAGCTTTCCACGCTTGAACTCAAAGAATGCTTCGGGTGACCGGCTCACCATGTCTTGGTCACTCTGTCCAAAAGCATCACGCAGAGCGTTGCAAAGAGCTTGCACTCCGCTAGGAATATGGTGTTGGATGATGATCTCTGGATTCATTGGGTCTCTGACTTCGTCGACGCTAAGTCTGACTAGCGCCTCGTCTCCAACATCTGCTCCACCGTTGGGCCTGGGCAGCCGCAAACTGACTGCAAGCTTCTGAGCTCTGCCAACTAGTCTTCCAGCGACCAGTGGCCCCACTACTTCGTCAGCTCCTTCAAAAACTCGATACCACAAACGCAACTTCTCAAAGTAGCTACGCAATGGGTAATCAGCTATCCCAGGCCATCCGGGTGGAACATCACGGCGGTACTCTGTCAAAGGTACTGAGCCTGCCCCAGATGATGGTTGTGCCATTGATGCGATGAGAACTGCAAAGAGCTCCTTCTGAGATCTTCTGAGGGATGCCAGCAAAGGTGCCAAAAATGTCCAAAATGTCCAGCTCAAAGTAATGGACTGGCAAAGTGCTCCAGCAAGTGACCGCTTCAAATTCGGTGATGTAGTTGCCACCGTAGGTCTCTTCAATGGTCGTGTCAAAGCAGGACCCAAGGCTGAAGTGACAAGTGCTAGAGCAATTGCCGACCTTATTCACAAGAATTGCCCCGTACTTCGGCGACGTTCTTGGCGTTCTGAAAGCAGCAAGACTTATGATCCTCGAAACCTGGGTTTCGCGCGACTTCCTGGATCGCACAGGGACAACCTGTATTCAGCAGAGTATTGGGCCCCAGTTCTTGAATCTGCTTGGTGCTTGGATAGAAACTTGGTGATACCGTTGCCCGGAGGGCTAGAACCGGAAACAGTAGGATGTTCGTGGTCTCAAAAGGATTGGCACCCCTAAAGGTGCAGCGGGTCCAAGCCGCTGTAGCCCCCAAGTAGTCACACTATGGCCCAAATGCCTCTGCTAGGAGGCTCCGCTACCAAACTTGGCAAAACGCGTTGTTTTGATCCGCTCAAGGCCTATGGTAGAATTGTGAAATGACCACGTGTTGTGGGAATGAAATGTGCAACTGAAACTTCACTGGGGGGGACCTGTGCCTCTCAACAACTTCCCGAATTCATGCGGTTTCAATATCTAAGCTTCCCCCCTCGTCTCTCCACAGCTTCTTGCATGCACCGCCATTTGGGTTCAATATCTAGCCTTCCGCTTCTCGTCTCAGCAACTTCTTGCATTCATCCTTGTTTCGATGTCTAACTTTACCCTCTCCCACCTGCCTCTCTCTCTCACCAATTTTCTGCGGTCACCTGGCTTCAATATCTACATGTTCCCCCATTTGCATGCATCTTGTCTCAATATCTAAATTCCCCCCACCCTGTGCCTCTCAGCAGCTTCCGGCATTCATAGTTTGGTCCCAAAACTTCCCCTTGCGTCTCTCAGCATTTTTTTGAATGTATCTTCGTGTATCTTCATTTAGTTTCAATGTCTAGGCTTCACCCCTCATCTCTCAACAACTTTTTGCGCTCATCCTGTTTCAATATCGCACTTTCCCTTCCCCCTATGTGCCTCTCAATTTCCTGCATCCATTTCGCTTCATACGTAGGCTTCCCCCCATTGGCCTCTCCACCACTTCTTACGTTTTTGTTGTTTCAATATCCGAACTTCCCCGGCATCAACAACTTCTTGCATGCATCTTGTCTCAATATCTAAATTCCCCCCACCCTGTGCCAGGCCCAAAAAAAAAACGCCAAGGTCCAAAAACATCCAGCCCAATTTGAGCGCCTACAACAATGGAGTTCGCCCCCATGGAGGCAAGGTCCACGAAGCAGGCGCACGGGTCCAAAAAGAAAATACCGAGGTTAGAAACAATTAATTTGGCTGTCTATGGCTGTCTAAAAAAAAATCCCTGGGTCCAGCACAAATACATGCAGGTCCCCAAAAAAAAACACACAGGGTCCAGAAAACACACAGGCATGTCCCCCACATGTTTTGTGCCCCAGGTCAAAAAAAATCTAGCCAGGTCCAAAAAACATGTACAGGTCCAAAAAAAGGGTGCCCAGGTCCAAAAAACATGCATCCCTATTTCAACATTATATTTCCTTAAAGGGTTCAAGACGTGACAGGTCACCCATATTGAGCCCTGGATAGCCCTGGCCTGCTCTTGGAACTTCCGGAAATATTCAAAAATCCGGTGTGCCGGGTTCTGCTCACCACAGCGCCAAGACCAAATTGTCTCAATGGCGCTATCATACCACTTTTCAGGATCACGCACTGTCAACAGCACTTTGGCATCTGGGTAGGCTTCCATGAGCTGGCGGTACATGCCACAGGCTGGGTAGTCCACCGTGGCTTTGTAGAACTTGTCTCCATCTGGGTGGGTGAAGATACCTTTCCAGTCCGGTTTCCCTGCATATGCATCAATCCACTTCTGGAAGTCGGGCCTCTTAACACATTCGAACATGTGGTAACAAGGGCCATCCAGCAGCTTCTCCAAGGCCATTTTCAGGCTGTTCGTACCGGTGCGCCCCCAACCAGCACCAATGACCTGCAACTTGGGCTCACCCTCGAGCGGCTGCGGCTGCGTCATTGCGGAACTCGCCCGGGAATGTCGAGGAGTCTCGTGGGACTCTAAGTGGACTCAAGTACTGTGGAAATTCATGGGCTTTCTTAGATATGCCCTTGGCATCTCTTGGCTACGTATCCTACACATGCAAGCGCCCTCAGAAAGTATCCGCGGCTTGAGCCAAGAAGCTTGTCACTCTACGGGTGGTGTCTGCTGTCAATCAGTTTTGCGTCTGGCACCCCAGCCATACACACTCTCTCTCTCTCTCTCTCTCCCCCTCTCTCTCCCTCCCTCCATCCCAGCCATCCCAGCCATCCCAGCCATCCCAGCCATCCCAGCCATACTGTGCCCAATCATCTTTGGTGCGGCTAAGTGGCTAGAGTGTCAAGCTCCAAGTTCTCAAGATTGCTTTGAATCACTTCCAAAGCAATGCCTTTGGGGATTGTGGATTTCACTGCTCATGTCTAAGAAACCAATGAGGGATGCTGAGGGTACTTCTTGCCGTGCCCTTCCACGGCAATATTTGTGCAATGGAGGGGTCTGGCGTAAATATGGTTGAATGATGTTGAATGCAGCTCAAATGCATCAGGAAACAGGTCAGGGAACTGGTCTAATTATTGAAGGTACATCTCACCCATTTAAAGCCTTGGACAGCACAGCCATGGTTTTCAGCCTTCATGGCCTCAAAAAAGCAGCCGAGGCACTGTGCGTGCCCAAACCTCGACGTATTCCCAGCATTCCCAGCATATTCGTACTGTACAAGAAGAGGGCAGCATCTCCAGGGCTGGTGCCACTGGTGCCAGTCTTGCTAGCAGTGGTGCTTTTCAATCTTTTCACTGCCTCTACACAGGCCGAGTGGATCACTGCGCCATCGTGGATGCACAACACTGACAAAGACCACAGGAAGGAAAAGCTGCTTCGAAGCTGCTCCTTGGCTGCTCTCGGCTTTCAGGCCGTATCCTGTCCGCAAAGTTAAGTCCGCTCAGTCATATGGGCAGAGAAAATCCTATGGAAAGTCACACTGAAGAAGCACCTCTGAGATCAGTAATCTGAAATAATCTGAAGCTTAGGATTTAAGCCAAGTAAGGTATACTAGATTATACTAGTGCAGTACGATATAGTGCGATTCTCAGATGCCACCTCATCAATTTCAATGCTCTAAAAATTATGCAAAATTCATGACAAGCTTATCGGATCTTATCGGATCTTATCGGCTGATCTGCTTGCCCCAGATGCAGACTGCAACAGGATCTCTGCTCCGTGGGCAAACTCTCCTGCACTGGCGCAGGCCACCAGAGCTGCGTCCTGTCCCATCAGATCTGCTGCCCAGTAGAGTGATCTTGGCCATACAAAAGACTTGCCTCAGGCACAGCATGCTAAGTGACATGCTACTAGCAAATACTAGCAGCATGATTCATCACATACTAGAACTACATAGCAGTACCACATTGTACTTAGATCAATACAGTACACGAACGTCGCTGCCACGCATGGAGAAGTCATGAGAAGTCTGTGGTGACGGTGTTCAAAGCGCTGAAGAGCCGCCTCTCACGTCCTACAGTACTTGGCATAAAAGATCATAAAAGTGCGCCGTTCCAAGGAGTGACAGGAAGCGGCGAGAAAGCGCTGTGTGTCATTTCTGTGCCGATCCTGCTGCACCTAGTTCTTGACCTAGTTCTTCGGGGCTGATAAAACAGCTTCATTGAGTCATGAAACATGACCCCAGTGACCCCAGTGACCCCAGTGACCCCAGTGACCCCAGTTCTTGAGCCAAAGTCACCACATGAACTGCTCAACATGTTGAACGTAGTGGAATCCGCTGCCATTCCCATCACCCCCATGTCTTGCAACAGTTGAAGGACGCCATTCCAGTGGCTGCGGGTTTCGGAGGCCGTCATCACAGCATTGTAAGCAATCCTTGTTTTTGCGAAAGGGCTATCGGCTATCGTCAACTGGAAACAGCTGTCAGGCTTGATGAATGAAGATTGCCTTAGGGGGACGGGGGCCAAAATGAGCCAAAGAGCACATTGCTACTCACTGCCTGATTCTCGAAAGCTTGAAGAAGCGCGAGGGCGCTCTCCCAGGAGTAGCAGGCACTGCAGGCCGCGCTGCAAGCATGGACCGATGTCTCCACTGCAGCTGCCCTAGAGTTCACAAAAACATTCACGGCGTGCCTTAGGTCAAGCATGGTCATAGGTCAAGCATGGTCAAGCATGGTCAGGGGACCAAATGCAATCCAAATGCCAGATGATTGACATGATGCGAGCTATATTATTTATTTATATTTACATATTTTTACATATTTTTACTAGATTCTGAGTCCCTTGTAATTAATTGTTTTGTGGTAGACTCAGAGGTCTTTCCCACCATGACCAGGGGAGAAAAAGTTCCCCAAGCTAGGTTCGAACGCTTTGTTGTGGCGGCTGCCGTTTGGACATGCCGACATGCCGACATGCCCTGCTGGTGACATCAAAGGAGAATCGAAATTGCAGCTGAAGAGAAGCAAGACACAAGATCAAACTGCTGGTCAGGTGCCACAGAGAAAAAAATGCTCGCGCCACCTTACAACACTTACAAGTTTTCCAAGTTATACGAGTTTTGTTTTGACTTCAGGCCGCGAGACAAATTCAATCAAATTCAATCAAATTCCAGTATGCTACAACAGCGTTGGCCCGTCCGGCCCCCCGCAGCAGCAGAACTTCAGCCCTTCAGCCCTTCAGCCCTTCAGCCCTTCAGCCCTCCAGCCCTTCAGCCCTTCCCGTCACTACGTTCGTACAAGCCGCTCCCATTTCTTCGAAGCTGCAGCCGCTGACGCCCTGGCTGAGGCTGTGAAGGCATCTGTCTGAACGCCTGGCCCACTCTGAACCACCGTGATGCAAATAGCTGAGCTCACCAGATTCCACAGAAACTGAAACGAACATCAACTGACAAAATCAAAGTTGATGCATTGGATGCTGCAATCATACATGCATGCCTCGTGTGTGCTGTGTTTTGCATTTCAGTTCACAAGCTTCGCCCTCCACAAGACGTGCCAGAGAACAAAATGCAGCGTCGTTTTCTCGCTCTTTGCTATTCAGACTTGTTCCAGTCTTTCTGTCGAAAATTAGTGAGACTCGCCTGTGCCTACGGCAGCCAGGTTCTCTGCAATCCATGTAGGAATTCTCATGGGGTTCACTTCCTTATTCACATCTTCCCTGCTGGTTACACCACTCAGGACTAGCAAGGACTTCATGCCACCACCATTGGCCAACTCAATGTCAGTCTTCAGAGTGCTGCCAACCACCACGGCTTTTGAGAAGTCTACGCCCATGCCACCCTCTGAGGAGGGGGTGCGCAGCTGCTCGAGCAACATCAGGGAAGGCTTGCCCACATCCACTACTTCCGAGATGCTCGCAGACTGCATGATGGCACCTGTCATGACGCCATTTCCAATGGCCCTGATCTTCTTTCCACCAAAGTTTTGATCTTTGCAGAACTTCTCATTTGTTACTCCAAGGATGCCACTGCGATCCATGGAGCAGGTGATCACTGGAAGATGTTTCCCATTGTCGTCTGCCCACTTGAGGTACTGAGTGGCAACTGCCATCTTCAATGCAGTGAACGTTTGGTCCCAACAAATCACCACAGAGTCCACATCTGGATACTTGGCAACTAGCTCCGTTACATTTTTGCTGTTGAGTTCTTGGAGGTACTCAGGTTTGGCTTTCCCATCTGCATGGATGGTGGCCACATACTTGGTGATGCCAAAAGTGTCCAATTCTTGCAAGATCGATGGGTTGGAGCAAATCACAAAAGGCCGTTTAAGATCTTTCTGCTTCAAGAACCAGGCACACGTGTAGGACGTGGTCACTACGTGTTGATGAGCCAACTTCCTGATCTCTTTCTCGCCCATTTTGTCATGTTTGCCGCTCCATTTCCAGCCATCAGGAGATAAAGTGCGGGACAAGGTAGTGTGAAACACCTTGATTCCATAGATGTCCTCCAACTCCTTCATCAGACCAGATCGAGTCTTGTTGGAATTGTTGGTGATCCAAATGACTCTTTTGCCTTTGAAAATCAATTCATTGACTCTGGCAACGATCTGTGCTCCAAGGGGCGTCTTTGGGTCCAAGAACACCCCCATCATGGCAAAGATGAAGGTCTCACACTCGAAGAACTCCCGTTTGTTGAGGGTAAAGTCCCGCAGGTGCATGTGAGAACTGGTGAGATCTCCATCTCGGCAGTCTTCCAGGGAGATAGCTGAGGTGCTTGACCCATGGAAATCTCGAATTGTGACTTTCAACATGGCATTCTTCTTGAACTCATCGCGAAGCTGCAAGCATGCTGTGTGCTCTGACATGTCGCAGATCTTCACGCTGAAGCCTTTGCCTAGGGCAGTCTGGACCAGCTTTCTGCGTGGATTGTCATCTGTGAAGACAATGGTCTTGACCCAAGATCCATCGGTCAGCTGACGTCCGACCAACGCATCTGGTAGCTTGTCTTTTTCGGGATCCCGATGCAGTTTGCAACCATGGTATCTTCCATCAGCAAGCTGTCCTTCAATCTCCACGCTGTCGCGGAGAAGCCGCACCGCGGAGTAAACAATTCCACGATTGTCGGCAGGGTTGAAAATCTTGCTGGCCTTGGAGTCTGAGCGCGATGTGTCAGCCGTTATGGCCAGCAACCCAGTATGTGGATGTCGAACAACTGTTGGTGTCTGTCCATGGGGCTGGTGCCCACTCAACACACGATCTATGCCGGATTTTTGCAAGAAGTCTTGCACCTCCTCTGATCGTTGCACGGGGTTGCCATCCTGAACAGGCATGACCAAGCGTCGACATTTAAGGACGATGATGGAAAATGCAGAATGCAACGACTAATGCTTGCATCAACTGGGATATATCATGATATGTCAATGACTGAGACCAGGGCAAACCATAGCCACGAGATGCCAAAATTAGAAAAGATGGACATCAAAGCGCGTGACTTGACACACATTAACAGACAGAAGATTCTGCAAAATGAGATAGCAATGATTCTGGTGGATTCTTATTCTTCGTTTCAACCATACTCACCCAAACCACAGCTTCGTCACTCAAACATAAAGTCTGACATTCTTGCGACGAAATCGCGCCATAGTTGCCTGACTACCCGGCCAGCACAGAAAACTATAAAGTATACGGGATCTGTGTCATCCTATGTTTACCTGTGGCATACAAAGCACTGGTGAAGTGGGCAGCGGAGCAAGCTGACATATGGCATCCTATGCGCTGCACGCTGGCACTGATCTGTCACCGCATGGCCAGGTTCTGAACGGCAACACGGAAACTGAATTAGACTAGGCGGTACCATAGATCCCCGAATGGATCAACCCAACAAGCCATCAACAAAGGAAAAAGATGGAAAAAGGATACATAGGATACAACATACATGCAGTAACAGACAGGTCAGGTGAGTCAGCACATGTGCCGGAGCCTGGAAGGGATTGTGGTAAATGACCGATGACTTGCCAGCAGCAGGGGTGCCATAGAGAATCAGATCTTCTCCACCTCTTCTTTGCTTCCCATTCTGATCCTCGCAAAACTAGCTCAGGCTAGGCTGAAAATATTCCGAGAATCATAGAATAAAAAAAAGGCAATGGAGGGGGGCCAAAAAGGCAATGGAGGGGGGACAATCACCTCGGATGGGAGATCAAATGTATTTAGCCATCCCGAAGAGGCAAGTTTGGCCGTACATGTGGCATGGCAAACATTTCGGGGGCCCAGGTCTCAAAGGGGATCAAACTTGGGGGTTCAGGGGTTCGTCCGCTGCCACTGATTCCCCCATGGTTCAACTGATGACTCAAAATTCAGTATAATTCAGTTTTCTGGCACCTCCTGCCGTTGAACAAGTTAAGTTGTACCTGACACTTTCTGACCTCTGCCGGAGAAAAAATAATGTCTTTATGTACCTTACTGCCTTTTTCGATGGTTAACACCTAACAGAGTAGTAATTAGCATGTTTTGAGGCTCAAAGTGCCAAGGCCCAACATCCTCTTCAGACATTCTAGGTGCGAATATTGTTTAGGGTGATGTTTTTGTGTACAAAATCGAGCCGACATCACACGATGCGCGGGGCTCAAACACGTGCAACGAAGAACAACGGAAAGAATTACAACTTAAAACTTGTTCATAGAAATATAGACCCGCTACAGCCTCCCTTCTCTACCATGGCAACTTCTGGGTGGCAGGGTGAACCTGCATCCCCCAGCCCCCCGCGATGCAAAACCCTCTCAATATCTGAAAAAGGTGAGGTGGGGAAAGTGCAATAGCCTATCCTGGGCAAACAATTGTGCAATATAAGGGCAGCACATGTTCTGACCCTCCCCTTGTTCTCTCTTTGTCTAATCTGTGTGGAGCACTTGCTATTCCAGTCCTTGTAGAAGAGAGGGCTTCTGCAAAAGTCCTGGAGCTGCTGGTCCTTCCAAGCATTCAACTGGTCAACCCAATCCTTGACGCTGCTGCAACGCCCCTCTTTACCGGGCACAATGCCATAGGATTCGGTGCTAATGCCTCCATGTAGAAAGAGGATGTCACCAATGACAAGAGCAATCTTTCCTGGAGCTGGGCTGTGGCTTCAGGTCAAATCTTCAACAGTGTCACATTGCAAATGCATGTAAATACACTGGAACAATCTTGAACATACTGGCGCTATTTTCATAATGATGCTGACCCCTTGTTGATTCTAGACCGCGTGTTGGTCTTCCTTAGCAATTTTTCCCAGACTTCGGAGACTTGAGTCGTGCAGCTACATGGCACAAGTAGCAAGAGCTCACTAGCTAGGCCGCTAGGCAAAATCATGATGAAATTGTTCAGTAAAAAAGTCACTAATTATTGCAACAAAATAAAGTGTGGCTTCTCCCACACTTTTGCAGGCAGGTGTCCAAAGCGACAGAACTCCAGCATCCAGGGGTCCGCGCTCTGACTGTCCACTGAGGAGATGTAACTTGAAAGTACATCCGCATCGGAAGCTCTTCCCTTCAGGATTGCCAGCTCCCGTTTGCGAGTGTCAAAAGTAGTATCCTGGCACCCCATCGTACAATGTAGGAGCCATTTTAGCTTGCCAAGTTTGTTCCTTTCAATGCCCTTGTCCTGCCACCCAGCTGGTCCCAGTGTTTCGCTGAAAGGGTCATGGAATGAAGTGCACATGCATATTCCCTCGGATGAAGCCATTTGGAATCAGGAAACTGTAGTGTCCAAGGGGTAAAATTGTTCTCTTGGCCACTGCGTTACCGAATTACAGGATCTGAAATCTATCCTTGAACTGGCATGAACTGGCAGAGGACACAACAATACAACAGGATATGTATGGATGTGTGATTGGGTTTGAATGGAGCCTGGAGCCACAAACAACACATTTGCCCGTCCTGGTGTTCCTCTAGGAACTGGTCAAAGGTCTTTGCCTTCAGGTCCCAGGTAGGAAGCCACTCCTGCCCTGGCGGCCCTACTTCGTGGAGTTCCGAGATGAAGCGAAGCTTCATGATGTCACGGTTGCCCAAAATGAAGTAGACCTGTTGCAGATGTTGCAGACTGTTGGGGCTGGGGCGGGGAAAGTTATGGTGATCTTGGACCCAATGCGTTTCCGAAAAGACACCCAAATCCGTGTTATATATAATATTATATATATACCATATTATATTATATTATATATAATATACAGTGGCCATGTGGAACCTGACAAGACTGGAGTGTTTTTTGTTCAACTTGGCCATGGTTCACATTTTGGCTATTTTGGCCAGCCATGGTCGAAATGAAGTTCCCCGGCCTGTTGAGGGAAGCGCTTCTTCAAACCGAGCAAAGTCTTGACTAATCTGATGTCACCAGGTCCTTTGTCGGGTGCATCACCCCCAAAGACCAACATCCCATTTGCTCTTAGGCGAAGGATGCCTGGACCCCAGTCACCTCGTTCTTCATCGTCCCAGTACAAGACCTTACTGCAATGAGCTAGTCGCAAAAAGTACTCCCAATGGCCCTCCACATCGGTGATGAACTCAATCACTGTGTCCTCCGAATAGGTAAAGAAGGGGTTTTCAACTGCCACGACCTCTGCCATTTCAGCCTCTGCCGCCTCTTGGTTCACTCTGAATTCGTTGCGGTCTTCGGTGCCGGCGCATGGGCACAACATGCGGTGGCCACGAAAGCGTGGCGTTCGCTCACAAAATGAAACTTGGGCCAAATCTCATAGCAGCTTCAAAGTGAATATTCGCACGAAACACCCGAAGGATAGGCATATGTGTGTATGTGTGTATGTGTGTATGTGTGTATGTCTGTATGTCTGTGTGTCTGTGTGTCTGTGTGTCTGTGTGTCTGTGTGTCTGTGTGTCTGTGTGTCTGTGTGTCTGTGTGTCTGTGTGTATGTCTGTATGTCTGTATGTCTGTATGTCTGTATGTCTGTATGTCTGTATGTCTGTATGTCTGTATGTCTGTATGTCTGTATGTCTGTATGTCCTGTATGTCTGTATGTCTGTATGTCTGTATGTGTGTATGTCTGTATGTCTGTATGTCTGTATGTCTGTATGTCTGTATGTCTGTATGTCTGTATGTCTGTCTGTATGTCTGTATGTCTGTATGTATGTATGTATGTATGTACTGTGTGTGTATGTTTGTATGTTTGTATGTGTGTATGTTTGTATGTGTGTATGTGTGTATGTGTGTATGTGTGTATGTGTGTATGTATGTATGTATGTATGTATGTATGTATGTATGTATGTATGTATGTATGTATGTATGTATGTATGTATGTATGTACGTATGTATGTATGTATGTATGTATGTATGTATGTATGTATGTATGTATGTATGTATGTATGTATGTGTGTGTGTGTGCGTATTGACAAACGATGATAAATACAACATGACAGATTCATGCCAGTTGGTTCGTACACACGGGTCAGCCGTGAAACACCTTGGTGCAGAGTGCAGAGTTGAGGGTCCATTCCCGGTTCAAACGGCCTTGCAAGTGGTCAAAGAGTTGGAAAGCCCAGAGCCATTGCACTCCTTTGGTACAGGCAGTGATGGCCGCATTGAAGACTGAAACCTCGAAACTCGCCAATATCAGTCTTCCAGGGAACAAAATCCGTCACTCTCCTTTTTTAGATTTTTTACTTGAAGCACGAAATGTGTTGAACCTACTTATTGTTCAACATGCGACATGTTCTAACACCAGATTCTGAAACTTTCAGTGAGACAGGGCGAAGCACAGGGGCTGAGCAGCCTGAAGCTGGAGGTTTGAACCCATGAACTTTCGCAAGATGTCCAAGGTCTGCTGCCATTGCTGCCCTTCTGAAAAGGCGCCGATCGCCGTCATGTACGGCAAGGCGTCCAACTTCATCCTGGGTACCCAATGTGTCGCAAACCAAGCGTCGGTAAGAACATGTCAGAACAGAACCTATCAATGACACCTCACAAAACCAGATTTCTCTTGAGGTGGAGGTGGAGGGCTCTCAACCAATAACAGGCCGGAGGCCCACTAGTTAATTACAGTGCAAGATGAACTGTTTGCAAAGAGATTTGCTGCTCAAGCATCCGCCCAGCATCAAGTTCTGAGAACAGAAGCCCTGCTACCTGCCACTCACTAGACCGCTCCAAGCTGCTCATCAATGCCTGGGCTGAGACGAAGATGTTACGCTGCTTCTTCACACCGAGCACAGTTCCAGCAATCATGCATCAAATCATCAAAACCTCTGCGGTATTCACAAATGATGTACACCAAACCGACAAAGCCTCCAACTGGAAGTTCGTGCTAAGCTGGAGAGGAGCTGAGACTGCGGTGGACATAAGAAACATACAGAAACATTTGGAACCAACTGCTTTCTCAATCTGTGCTATCGGTTTGTTATGGCTAAGTATAGCCCGAGCAACATTGTAGGCAATGACATCTGTGTTGCCGGCTGCCAGCATCTGCAGGGCCCTTGGCCACTGATCACCACGGCCTAGGGCAGTTATGAGAACATTCACGGCCATGGCATCCGCTTCCACGCGCCAAAGCAGGGCTTCCTGAAACAGTTCCATCGAGATGTGCCAAGCTGAGCCTTTGCCACAGGAACGAATGGCTGTGCTGTACGTCATGATGTTCCTGTGGGAGAAGCGGAGAACAAGGGTTTTTATGGTTTTTAAATGTTTAAAATAAGAAACCAAGAAACACAAAGAAACTAGCTGCTACTAAGCTGCTACTAGCCCGTGGAGGGGTGGCTTGCATCGTGACTGCAAACTCCAAAGGCGGAATGAATTATACAACATATGCAGTAGCTGCTTCATGAACATTTCGTGTGCTTCAGGATGTGTCTTGAGGAGTCTGTGTTTCCACACCCGTCAAACTTGTCACATCAGTCTCATTTCTAATTACTGTTGCTTTGCAGAAATTTCACTCCCAGAAAGTGTGAATTTCACAGTCCTCTGCACCTGGCGGCCGTGAAGGTCATGAAGCAACTCCAAGACCATCTGCCAATTCTGCCCGTTCTGCCCATTCTGCCCGTTCTGCCACTCTTCCGACAATTTCCTCTCGTCACATGCCATGAGGGCTGCATTGCACGCCACGGCATCCACGGCCTGTGCTGGGCCATCCACACCTTGCGAAGTTCGGAAAGACTCTTCGATCACAACGAGGACATCTTGCCATCGGCCAAAGACAGCATGGGCTGAGATGGCCAGGCTTGGTGTCACCACATCAGCATGAAGGCGTGAGTGTGGTACAGCCGCGGCCAATAACAAGGAGTGCTCCCATTTGACAGCGCTGCTGCATGCATTCATGACTGTGTTGCAACTGATTGTGTTTTTTGCAATCCTTCGTAGCTCCATCAAAGACAGGAAAGAAATAGATGATTGCCAGTTGAAGCTAGCACCGGCAGCACGCATTGCAATGTTGCAGGTAATTCTATCAGCAATGGAGAGAGCAACCAGCTGGAACATGAAGACAACAAATCTCCACTCCTGACCGCAGAGATTCAGAAGTACGTTTAGTACGTTTAAGCATGGCGATGATGGCAAGATTGTACTCTCAAGGAGACCAAGGGGTCGGGACTTTTGCAGCAAGGAAACTGCATGTTGCCATCGTGGGGCCGGGGTGCCTGATAAAAGAGCACTGTAACTCATCTCATCGGCTTCGAGAGCAGACTGCAACAGCAAGCAGAACACTCCCACTGCTTGTTGCCACTGGTCTCCTTCACAGGCCCTTATCGCTGCAGTATAGGTGATGATATCCGTCTGCACTTGATCCCCCACTTTGGCCAAACAATCCAAAGCATTCTTCCACTGTTGGCCTTGTGCGAGTGCTTTCAGGGCCACATTCAGACTGATGGTGTCAAAGCAACGCCTGTTGCGCAAAAGCTCGAAAATGTAGATGGCCTGATACCACTGCGATGTCCTCAAAAAGCTGTTCATCAATACGGTGCATGGCACCACACCCAGTTGCGACCATGACTTCGACGATTCTAAAGCACGTCCCTCCTGAAGACACGGCATGATGCGGTCAAGTGACTGACTTAACCAGGGTAAGCAGCACTGACGCGCTTTGCTGCAGGTCTCTTGTTGGAGAAAAGCGAGCATTGGGTACTATTGATTAATATTGGGTATGTATTGCCAGCACTCCAAGATTGCTACAGGATTGCCAACTTCAAATGGTACGTCAGGAAGTTGGAGCATACCACTTCCATACAGAGTTGATTTCGCTGACTCAAAAATGGACTGGTGAAAACACTCTGTTTCCAAAGGGAACTCAAGCCACGAAAATGGCGCAAGAAAAACAACAATACCTAAAAACAAAATCCTAGAACACCAAGGCTTTTATACTGGGACAGGAACGATCCATTTGTTTAATCCTTTTTTTATGAGTCTCTGAGTCTGGCTCTCTCAGTTTTGATTCTGTTTAAGTTTTAAGATAGCCAGATAGCCCATTTTGTGTGGAGCCATGGGGAAATCTAGGAATCCATCCGCCCGCTCCTCGGTCACAGTGGTTTGCTGAGCATGCGAGCCTGGCACCACACCACGAATTCTCATAGCCATATGGGCCATATCAGGCCATATCATATAGCCAAAGGATGCCAAAGGGCATACGTTTCACAAAACAAACTTTGAATGTGGTAAGATGATGCAAGAGTAGGTGTAATGTATCTGTGCAATTCTGTATATTTCTCCCCAGCGCTATGACAGAATTGTATGTGCCTTACGTGCACTATTATATATTATTATGATATATTGAAATTGTTGACAGTGCAGATACGTTCAATCCTGTGCTCCTGCAAGCCTCGTGCCTCTGCAAATGGCACTGGATCGGCCTTGATGCATTTGGCCACATGGCGCGGAAATCCGTTGCACCGCAGGGCGGGGCAGATCGACACGGTGCAGGATGGCACGGCGCCAAATAGCCAGGGGCAAGGGTGGCAAGTGATGCTTTGCGACATTATGCAAAAAGATGCCCCCAAAAAGCTCTGTGAGTGGAGCTGCAACCCAGCTGTACGACCTGTAGTTCTGCCCGGCCCAAGGTCAGTATGCCACTGCTGCACTGACAGATTGTTAAAAACCTGCAGAGCCAATGATTTCAAGTGAATGCAGGGCATTGAAAGGCAAAGAAAAGGGTCCTCAAATCCTGCCGCTTGAAGCTTTAAAAACTCGAGTGAGATGTATGAGTAGCGGATTGATGCGGATTGGACTTTTCTCATGTCCCTCCTGGCTTTATCTATTCTTGATGTGGCCTCTTCATTGAATACGTTGAGTCGGAAATTGCATCAAGCATAGTCAATAGTCAGTCGATTTGTTCGCGGCACTTCTATTTTCCTTTCACATGCCGGTGACATTGGCAGCTGCTCGGGTCAGAAACCTAAGAACAGTGCCACGCTGCTTGCCACCCGATACTCTTGGTCTGATGACTCATTGGAGTGCCAAGCACCATTAAGAATCAGCGTAATGAATCGTAATGATATGTTACAGCACATCTGTCGTAGATGATCTGTGTCCTGCTCAAATCCTTGAACGCCCAAGTCTGACCAGTGATGATTTACTGCAATACATCGTCATACTGTGTCCAAGCCACTTTAGCAGTGGCTGCCTATCATCGGGGCCCCTCCATTGTGTGAACACGTCCTGCGAGCGATGGTTTCACAATCGCATCTTTTCGCTGCAGGCTTACTGCACTGTATATATAAATCTCCCCCAGACCTGATCTGAACACTTGCACAAGGCATGCGGAATGCTCCTCCACAAGCCAATGCCTGCAGTGAAAAAGAAGCCACAGTCTGAGCCACAGCTATCAATGTTCAACTGAAAGCTCCATGTGCAAACTTATGCAAATATTCGCAGAAATATCCTCTCATTAGCTCAAGATAGCTTAAGTTGTTAAGATTGTTCAAGCTTCGCAAGCTCTGAATCTGTGATTTTTTTTGGCACAACGTGTCCACAGCAATCTAAAGCAACATAGAGCAACCGCAATGGGGCAGACCCCTTTTTTCAACTGGAACCTAACCCCATTAAACGAAACCGCAAGCGTATGGGCACCAGCCTCATCGTAGGAGTAGCACTGTGAGCAGGAAAGAAGGCAAGGTGTGGATGTAGAAACTTCGAGTTGTGCGCCTCCTGTGAACGCTGGCAAACAAAAACAGATTATCTACTCTGCCCTCATTTGGCAAAAGCATGCAAAAGCAAAACAAAAGCAGGTTGGCAAAAAAGCAATGCGAAGCAGCTGCCAGGTTTTCCTCCAACACTACAAGTCACTGGAGTGTTATGGTGTTTGGATGTGTTTGGCATGGGACATTGGATTCACCGATGCCGCCTCTACACGAGTTGCTCCGACGCGATCTCGACCTCATAGGTTGCTTCCGAAACAGCTGGGGCCAAGCATTCGCAGAATCAGAAGAAGTATAGAGATGAGGATCGAAATGGATCAATCAATGCGGATCCAATCAATATGGATGATCGATCAGGATCAATGAGCAATGATTATCAACAAGAATCAATAAGGATCAAGAAACAAACCAAATCATGGTGCTTGTGTTTGTTTGCTTGTTTGCCCAATTGTTTACCCACTTTCTCACTTGTTTGTTTGATTGCTTGTTTGTGCTCTTGCTGGGTGTGATTGACAAGTTGATTGGCCAAATCACTAATTTCGATTGCTGACTGAATTGACTTCTTGACTGACTTTGATTTTTTGAGTGCGTGATTTATTGTTTGGGTGCGTGGGGTCTTTCATGGCACGTCTGATCCTGAGCGCACTGCAACAACCTGGAGACGCATCCAGCCAATTTTTTGGGTCATATGGCCGTACTTGCTAAACGCCAAAGGACAAAAACCGAACCCGAAACGAGCAAAAAAAAACTGGCCGAAACCTGAGATCATCAAAATCCTGATCCGTAGAGGTGTATTTGGCAGGGTTCTGGGCGCTTCGACAGACAGGGGCGCGTTTCTGCGTTTCTAGCACGGGATTCTACAAACCTGTACGACAGCAACAAGTAACAGACAAGACAATGGCCAAACCCATACGTCCACCAAAAGTTGGTTTTCGGATATGCTGGAAGATGCGCAAGCCCCATATCTTAGTGGCCAGTGCCTTCCTCCGAAATATGTCTGAAGGATTCTGTTGACTCGATTGTCGTATGGGTTGTGGACAAGCTCGGTTACTTCACGTACTTACGTGAAGAGTAAGTCGTGTTAATTCATCTCATGCAATGCATTTTCTTGACCATCTGGACCCGCATCCAAAGTGTTCCGCTTGCCTACCCAAGGTTGGATTCCAATCAGTTCCGCATCTTGAAATCAGTGATCTAACGAAGATCCGTAAGTTTCTTCCCCTGATCGAAAGGCACAGATTCGCCACTGCTAATTCTCACATTTCTATTGAGCTTGAGCCCATTACATTCACCCACTGCCATGAGGCCATGGTTTTGCAATGGATATTTTTGTTTTATATATGTTATGATATTTTATGACAATGTATTTTTTGCTATGGGGTTGGTATTATCTCGTCCCAATGTCCCAAAAAAAAATAAACAAAAAAGAAAAACAACATAATAAATTACAGTACAATAATTTATCCATAGATGATAGAAACCCTTGATTAGAGCCCCTCTGAATAGATCCCCAGAGATGAAGAAAGACCATGAAAGACCCGGATAACCCCCATGATTTCACATGTAAACCATTGTAAGCTAGTGGCTCATAACAGCGGGTCCATGAAAGTTGTCATTGTAGCGGAAGACCCACGTGAGCCGAGCTGTGTCCTCCAGATTTTCAAGAAACCCAAAGATCCTAAAGGAATCCAAAGGACGCCTGAAGGGTTGGCTGTTGTTTCATGTTGTTTCTATTGGTGCCGGTTCTAGCTGCAAATTGTCGCTCGTGCATCTGAGTGGAGAAAGAAAAGGGTTTCCGCTACAAACTAAACAACGTTCCACCGTTTTTCACCGCTTCCCACATCTTGATACAAATGCCGTCTTTTTGAGTGACACTCAACTCATTTAGATTCGCTCTCCTTGTAGCGCTCATGGAAGTGCAGCAAGGGGACCTGTCCATGGCTGATTTGTAAAACAATCCGCGAAGGGGATAAATTACATGGAGTAATTAATTGTGGATGGAGTATATAGAATTATCTCTCTCTCTCTCTCTCTCTCTTTCTTTCTCTCTCTGTCTCTCTCTCTTGATTGATTTATATATTTATCTATTGTTTATTTGGTTTCTTTACTTTTTTAATCATATACGTATACAGATATATAATCGCATAGATGGTAAAATCTCCATGGTACTACGGACTATGTGGCGTCCGATTCATCTCCGCCTCCTCCAGCATTCGCAGGTGCAGTTGTGAGGCATTGGCCTCCAACAGCAGCATGTCTCCTGCCGCAACAAGAAAAAATGTTCAGCATGTCACCCATTCTGTAGGAAGGTCTGGTAAAATCCGTGTATATATATCTATATATATATATAGAAATATAACCACCATAGGAATAAAATAAATATATAACTTATTAATCGAAGGAAGTTTAGAAGTCAAACTTCCGACAATATGGGCAGATGAAAAGCAGAGCAGGGCAGAGGCAGAGAGAAGAGAAAGATTAGAAGAGAGAAGAGTAGAAGAGAAAGAGCCAGAAGAAAGAAGATGCAGATGCGCGAAAAGGTAGGAAAGATTTGTGGCTCTGGAGGGTCGAAAAGTAGGCTCGCTAAAGCGGCGGGTGCGGAGCCAGCTGGCCAGATGAGAGATGAAAAATTGCACGCCGTTGTGGCGCGAAGCACATTTCGAAGTCAACATGTACAAAACACACCAGCTTCGGACCACTTTTACTAGTTGAGATGTCGAAAAAGTGCACGCCGTTGTGGCGCGAAGCATATTTCCAATTCAAAATGTACAAAACACCTCAGCCTCGGACCACTTTTGGAAGTTGAGATGTTGAAAAAGTGCACGCCGTTGTGGCGCGAAGCACATTTCCAAGTCAAAATGTATTTGAAGAGGATCTGCAGTACAAAAGACTTGTTCATGAGAGATGTTAGGAGGTCAGAGGGCTGATTTCCTGAGAGGGGTTGCATTTTGGAGCATCAGATCTGGAGGTTTGCTAAGATGATTTTGCGTGACAGGTGCAGCACTTCGTATGACCTGGCATCAATTTTTCGTGGCAGGCGCAGTACTTTAGACAGGTGGAGTGGAAGAATCGCAAAACGAATTGGTACGAGGCTGTCAGCGCTGCACTCAACTTTCCATTTTTGAAGGAAGTCTCCCAGAACTGCTTTGATTTTGATGTTGTCAAATGCAAAAATTGAGGAAGTCTCGCTGAATTGCTGCGTTTTTTATGTTGCCAACTTTCAAAAATAAAGAGGTCTCGCAGAATTTCGTTTTTGAGGTTGTTAAGTTCGCACATTGGGGAAGTCTCGCAGAATTGCTTCGTTTTTGACGTTGTCAACTTTGAAAAATGAAGACATCTCGCAGAATAGCTTGGTTTTCAAGCTTGCAGATAGACAGGTAGATAGACAGACAGACAAACAGAGAGAGAGAGAGAGATAGAGAGATAGATAGATAGATAGATTAGATTAGATTAAATTAGATTAGATTAGATTAGGTTAGGTTAGATTAGATAGATAGATAGATAGGTAGATAGATAGAGAGAGAGAGAGAGATAGATAGATAGATAGAAAGATAGTAGATAGATAGGTAGGGAGATAGATAGATAGAGAGATAGATAGGTAGAGAGATGGAGAGATAGAGAGATAGAGAGATAGAGAGATAGAGAGATAGAGAGATAGAGAGATAGAGGGATAGAGAGATAGAGAGATAGAGAGATAGAGAGATAGAGAGATAGAGAGATAGAGAGATAGAGGGATAGAGTGATAGAGTGATAGAGAGATAGAGAGATAGAGAGATAGAGAGATAGAGAGATAGAGAGATAGAGAGATAGGGAGATAGGGAGATAGAGAGATAGAGAGATAGAGAGATAGAGAGATAGATAGATAGATAGAGAGATAGAGAGATAGAGAGATAGAGAGATAGAGAGATAGAGAGATAGATAGATAGATAGATAGGTAGATAGATAGATAGATAGAGAGATAGAGAGATAGAGGGATAGAGAGATAGATAGATAATTAGATAATTAGATGAAAGAAAGAGAGAGAGAGATTGATCGATAGATCGATAGATCGATAGATCGATAGATCGATAGATAGATAGATAGATAAATAGGTAGGTAGGTAGGTAGTCAGGGAAAGAGAGAGAAAGAGAGGAGACCTCAACCACCTTTCGGTCCATCAGTGGCTTCGCTCTGCCATCCTTGATTCACAACAACCAACCTCTCCTATAGGTTTCCTATTTTTGAAACTTCCGCCACCGCCTTGTGCGGTACTACTGGTAACCCATATGTTCAACACGTTCGCTCCAACCCGGACGTTGCTCCACACTTGCAATCGTCATGGTCGTCATCATCATCATCATCATCATCATCAAATCATCACATCATCACATCATGATCATCATCACATTAAAGTTCGCCGCCACCTCTGAACAATATGTTGACTGGGGTAAGAACATCAACTTTATCTTCATGAGGGGTCAAAATTTGCCACCCCCTCTGCACAATATGTTGATTGGGGTAATAACATCAACTATATCTCCATGAGGGATCAAAATTTGCCACCCCTATGAACAATATGTTGGTTGGGGTAATAACATCAACTTTATCTGCATAAGCCACCCCCTATAAACAATATGTTGATTGGAGTAATAACATCAACTATATCTCCATGAGGGATCAAAATTCGCCACTCTCTATGAACAATATGTTGGTTGGGGTAATAACATCAACTTTATCTGCATAAGGGATCAAAATTCGCCACCCCCTATGAACAATATGTTGATTGGAGTAATAACATCAACTTTTTCTTCATAGCCACCTGAAGTCAGACGCGGCGCAACGTCAGGGTTGCAGCGAACATGTTTCAACGACTGATGGACAAAATGTGAAGAGCTTAGGCAAGCAACTGCTTGCATATCTCAGTATCATTGCTGACAAGACCTGCCGGCCCGCCAGCTCCAATCCTAGGAACTCAAACATCTGATATGGTCCTGGAGCGAACGATGGCTGGGTAGAACCAAATGTTCACTGTATAGATTTCGAGGATCTCGACAAGAGCACAAACAAACACTTAGATTCGCACACGCAAACACGCACACAAAAACACACCTACCTACACATACACGTACTGCCCGTTTGTGCCATGACGATTCCCCACACACCATACGACACCCCCACATCATCGCAGCATCTGATATGATCTTATATGCATACGCTACCTATTCCATCCTCGGGCAGCCACAGAATCCATAAAATGACATGTCAAGAATCACATATGTCATGTACAGTTACATATATTATATAGCCATATAGCATCAAAACATAAATATATATATATATATAAATCATATAAGATCATCTGAAATGTGATTTTGGACCATAGTGGACCATTTCAATCATTTTGAATTCATTTTGAACATCCACCTGCGCACTTTGCACTGCGTCCTGATGCGCTGTTGATCCGCTCCAACAAGTGATCGACCACTGGCTCCATGGGGGCCGTCAGGCCACCAGCCATGCAGCTGGGCGACACACTGGGGCCATGGGGGCCGTGGCGGTCATGGACATCCATGGCACCTGCATAAACCGAAGAATCCGAAGATAGGAAGACAATGGAAGACATAATGAAGGCATACCAGGTATGGCAGGATATGGCAGGATATGGCAGGTATGGCATACCACATGTTTACTCAGTGTTAAAATGTCTTGAATGCATACTTTGATATGATGTTCTAAGATGTTCCAAGATTCTCGAACTGGCTGTTTGGCAGCCAGACTACATCAACTTAGGAAGTGATCTGCCGATGGGTTCGTGACTCCATCCTTGAGTGCCTTTCATCATCATTCATCACCCATCATCAGGTCATCAGTCCCAGGGATAACCTAGCAGACCTAGCAGTAGCCTAGCTATATCATGCTATATCTAGCTATCATAAGTCGAGAAAAGTTAGCTGGGCCGGGTGGACAACATTGGACAACAACCTCTGTTCAGCCGCTGTCAGCCGACAGGCCGCACTCCCAGCCTGGCACACCACAGCTCAGAGCGATCTTCCAACTTTGTTGAGGCCAGGCAGTACCAAAGTTCCTGCCACACGAAGATCCCTTGGTCAAGGGATGCACAACTCGCATTGTATCTCATCATTATGATGAATGGATATGAATGGCATTTATTTCAAGACAATGTTGTTTCGAATTTCTTAATGAAGAAGTAGGAGGGTTCAAGACTGAGGCCTTGTCTCGCATTTACCTCCACCTGCAGTAGAGCCTATTTCAATGTATGTCATGAATCACCGACGAGCGCTGCAGTTTCCGCATTTGGGCTCTGAACGCATGTGCTCCGGCCCTATCTGCCTTTCTTCCAGTAAGCGAAACAAGGCTCTTGACCTTCGACGAGGCAGAAACATGCAGAATTCATCAATTCTGCTGAGTAGCTTGTTTCATCTTTTTTCATCTTTAATCTACAGTCGCCACTTTTCAATTGGAAAGCTCCCCATGCCAATTTGTACGCAATAGACACTCGACAAACATTCTCCAACAGTGAGCAGCATCGGCAACAGCCAAGGCCCCCTACGTGTAGCGAAAACCATGGATGAAACCTGCCGTTTCAGGCGTTGCAAAGGTCGGTCTGCCTTCAAATAAATGTTGTAATTCATGACTTGCATGAGTACCACGGAAGCTCACGCATGCACGGACTTGGTACCGTATCGTACATGTCAAAACCGCATTCTCGTCCAGACCTATCAACAGGCAAGGCTACATATTACTAGTGACTAGGCTTTTAGATCAGCACTTGGCAAAAGATCGATCAGCAACAACACCTAAGCCTCTGGGGATTGCACATGCGCGATCAGCCCCAATCCACGTTACCCAATCATCGCAATCTATCTCACTCCCGGGCCAACCCGACCTCCAGCAGACTTTCGAAAATCCAAGCTATGACTGATCGTGCCAGCAGCATACATGCCAGGGACTCCTGCCACAAGCAAGGCCAAAAATCCAAAACCAATTTCAGCCAATGCAAAATCCACCTGCCTCCCCTGATGAAACCCTTGTGAATCTTGCTGGGACGTGCTATCCATCTGAGGCTATCTAAGTCGGCACAGCACGCAAACGCCTATACGATCACGTGCTTCGGTTGCACCACTTCTGTCACATTTATGTGCCTGCCTTCCACATCCCAGCTTGTAGTGATCTTCGGATACCTCAAAGGCGCCAACAAGATGTGCTTCGAACACCAAAGGACATCGGAATTGGAAGCACAACATCACACCATGGCATGTGAATTGGACTTGTGCGAACGAACCGGCTCTTTGTGCGGAGCCGGATGCGAACCGACTAGAAGCAGCACTATCACTACTGCAGCCGCGACACTTTCCATTGTGTGTCAAGTTCACCTGGAAGGAGGAATCAAGAATGTCAGCGTCAAAAGTCCAGCCAAAGCAGCCTGAGCTATTTGGCAAGCTAGTTCTTGGGATGGGCGGGGCAGGCAGTAGTCACCAGTCGGAGCACTCTCTATGTTGCTCTCACTGACCAAAGGTGGTTGACTTTGCTCAACTTCGCAACAGTTTTGTAATGCCAAAATATGCGCATATTTGATCGTTCTAGATTCTACGTGGTGCATGGTGCTGTTTTTTGTGGCCTTTACACTTGATGTGCGCCTTCCCTATTGCCATCTAAGCCACGAATCACTGCATCCTTGCAGAATGCAGGCACAAATTTGGAATTCTCTCCTTTCTCAGGATCTTTTCTCCAACAGGATGAGCTGCTAGGGCTGTCATACAACGAAGGACTTATTCTACAATCACACATGTTGCTGATGCCATTTGTCACATCTTTTGAGATTCCATCTTGGATGTTGGGCAGGTGCTTGGATTGGGGCCGCATCACAGTCACTAGCTAGTAGTTGTAAAAAAAAAATCAAACTGCTTTGACTGTGATGCTGTGCCCGTTACTGATGATCTAATTCCCTGCCTTGCAGCCTTTCGACTGGATGATGTGTAAGTAAGATCCAAGCTGATCCAAGATTCCATTGGGAAGCGGATGTTGTCGTGACCTCCGGCTTGTCGACGCAGCAAAGCCACTTCTGCCGCCAGAGAAGGATCCTGTCGCAGCAACTTGCTGCTGACACGGAGCCTCGGCGCGGGTCTGTTCGACAAAAAGGGGCGATGTTCGCTGTCGGTTTTTGTGACGGGTCACATGATTTCACGGGGCCTGTTTGGATCCTGGACAATACATGCCCTTTTTAGTTAGTCATCATATGCCAAGACCATACATAGGTCTCACAATATATCACAATATCAATAGTCAAGAGCCTCCATGACCTAAAGATTATATAAAGCATGTGTTTCGAGCCCTTGCTATAGCAGCCATGGCACTCCACGTAGCTCACATTAAAAACTTCAGGATCCTAAGCACGTGAACGTCCAAAAAGGGCTTCAAAGCAGGTCACTGGAGAAGTAGCATGAAGGAATCCTGCACCTGTTCACCTGGAAAATGTGTAAAGCGTGCCAAGACAGACATTGTTCCAAGGCGCATCTTTTGCAGGTTCTTGTGCAGGTTGTATAATGTTGTATACACATTCAACGTTTGCCGTTGTAAGAAATCTTCCAGGCCTGACTCAATTCCTACACCAAATTCACCCGTTCATGTGTACACCTGTTGCTTTTCCAACGGCAAGCGCGCAATGAGGCACAACAAATATGTTCTTCTTTACTCTTTACTATCAAGGCCCGTATCTTCCTGTAAGGAGATTGAATACGCAATGCCGAAGCGAGTACATAATCTTTTTCTTGAAACGGAAAATCCGGTGAGAATTTTACAAATGCCCTATATAGGGCAAGTCTTTTTTTTGACCTTGGATCACTTTTTTTTGACCTTACCTCTTTTTTTTGACCTTGGATCCCTTTTTTTTGACCTTGGATCACTTTTTTCTGACCTTGACCTACTCTTTCTTAACCTTGGCATGTTCCTTTTTATTCTTGGCCTACTTCCCCATACTTGTTTGGAACCTTGCGCCATCTTGCACTTTTTCTCTGTGTGTGTGTGATTCTGGAGTGTGTAGAGTGCGGAGGTAGGCATGTGGAATGTCGAGTTTGCATCTGGCGTGCGGGGTGTGGCGACTGGTGGGTGGAGTGTGCATGGCGTGGACTGTAATGTTTGCAGTGTATGGTTTTCATTTGTAGTGTTCAGTATGCTGGATGTGAAATGCAACGTTGGGCGTTTCGTGCCCAATGTGAGGTGTGGAGTTTGCAGTGTGAAGTGTAGAGTTTGCAGTCTAATGGAGCGTGTAGAGTGCGGAGGTAGGCATGTGGAATGTCGAGTTTGCATCTGGCGTGCGGAGTGTGGCGACTGGTGGGTGGAGTGTGCATGGCGTGGACAGATAGGAAATTGATGGATGGAAAGATGGGTCAATACGCAATGGAAAGATAGATAGATCGATAGATAGCTATCGGCAAAGAGACATTGCGACATAGAGACATATAGACATAGAGACATAGTCATAGCTAGATAGATGGAGGCAAAGATAGAGATAGTTAGATATAGATAGATAGATTGCTAGATAGATCAAAATAGATACACATAGATGCAGATTAACCTAGTTTGATACAGATAGAATTAGATGAATAAAGGTATATAGATAGAATGAGAAAGATAGATATGGCGAAATAGATAGTAAAGATAGGATACATAGCATAGATAGGATAGAAAGGAGAGACAGACAAATAGAGAGATAGAGAGATAGATAGATAGATAGATAGATGGATAGATAGATAGATAGATAGAAAGATCGACAGATAGACAGATAGACAGATAGACAGATAGATATGGTGAAATAGCTAGTAAAGATAGGATACATCGGATAGATAGGATAGATAGGCTAGATAGGATAGATAGGATAGATAGGATAGATAAGAATAGATAAGATCGATAGGATAGATGTGATAGATAGGATAGATAGGATTCAAAGGATAGATAGATAGATAGATAGATAGATACATAGATACATAGATACATAGATAGATAGATAGATAGGTAGACAGATCGATAGTCAGATAGTTAGATAGATAGATAGATAGATACATAGATACACAGGTCGATGGAAAGAAAGAAAGATTGATCTATAGACAGACAGAAAAAATGACAGATTGTGAAATAGATAGATAGATAGATAGATAGATAAATAGATAGATAGATAGATAGATAAGTTGATGGATGGAAAGATGGGTCGATACGCAATGGAAAGATAGATCGATCGATAGATATATATAGGCAAAGAGGCATTGCGACATAGAGACATATAGACATAGAGACATAGTCATAGCTAGATAGATGGAGGCAAAGATAGAGATAGATAGATATACATAGATAGATTGCTAGATAGATAAAAATAGACACACATAGATGCAGATTAACCTAGTTTGATATAGATAGAATTAGATGAATAAAGGTATATGTATATATACATAGAATTACATAGATAGAGTGAGACTGAAATAGTTTGATATAGATAGATAAAAATTGAAGTAGGTTGATATAAATAGATTCAAATTAGTGTAGTTTGATATAGATAGGTCTGGAAAAAATAAATACAAATGGATCTGTATAGATAAATCCGGACTGGTATAGTTTGTATACGGATAGGTAGAGAGATAAACAAATAGATAGATAGCTACCTAGCTAGCTAGATAGATAGATATGGTAGAATAGAAAGTAAAGATAGATAGGAAAGATCGATAGCAAAGAAAGCTAGGAGAGTTAGATAGGAAAGATAGGATAGATAGGGTTGAAAGGATAGATAGGATAGATACGATAGATAGGATAAATAGGAGAGATAGGAGAGATAGGAAAGATAGGATAGATAGGATAGATAGGATAAATAAGAATAGATAAGATCGATAGGATAGATGTGATAGATAGGATAGATAGGATTCAAAGGATAGATAGATAGATAGATAGATAGATAGATAGATAGATAGATAGATAGATAGATAGATACATAGATAGATAGATAGATAGATAGATAGGTAGATAGATAGATAGAGAGAGAGATATAGATAGATAGATAGATAGATAGATAGATAGATAGCTAGATAGATAGATAGATAGATAGATAGATACATAGATAGATAGATAGATAGGTAGATAGATGGATAGGATAGGATAGGATAGGATAGGATAGGCTAGGCTAGGCTAGGATAGGATAGGATAGGATAGATAGATAGATAGATAGACAGATAGATAGGTAGATAGATAGATAGATAGACAGATAGATAGATAGACAGATAGATATGGTGAAATAGCTAGTAAAGATAGGATACATCGGATAGATAGGATAGATAGGCTAGATAGGATAAATAGGAGACGTAGGAGACGTAGGAAAGATAGGAAAGATAGGAAAGATAGATAGATAGATAGATAGATAGATAGATAGATAGATAGATAGATAGGTAGATAGATAGATAGAGAGAGAGAGATAGATAGATAGATAGATAGATAGATAAGTTGATGGATGGAAAGATGGGTCGATACGCAATGGAAAGATAGATCGATCGATAGATATATATAGGCAAAGAGGCATTGCGACATAGAGACATATAGACATAGTCATAGCTAGATAGATGGAGGCAAAGATAGAGATAGATATACATAGATAGATTGCTAGATAGATAAAAATAGACACACATAGATGCAGATTAACCTAGTTTGATATAGATAGAATTAGATGAATAAAGGTACATGTATATATACATAGAATTACATAGATAGAGTGAGACTGAAATAGTTTGATATAGATAGATAAAAATTGAAGTAGGTTGATATAAATAGATTCAAATTAGTGTAGTTTGATATAGATAGGTCTGGAAAAAATAAATACAAATGGATCTGTATAGATAAATCCGGACTGGTATAGTTTGTATACGGATAGGTAGAGAGATAAACAAATAGATAGATAGCTACCTAGCTAGCTAGATAGATAGATATGGTAGAATAGAAAGTAAAGATAGATAGGAAAGATCGATAGCAAAGAAAGCTAGGAGAGTTAGATAGGAAAGATAGGATAGATAGGGTTGAAAGGATAGATAGGATAGATACGATAGATAGGAAAAATAGGAGAGACAGGAGAGATAGGAAAGATAGGATAGATAGGATAGATAGGACAGATAGGATAGATAGATAGATAGATCGACAGATGGATAGGTAGATAGAGAGATAGATAGATAGATAGATAGGTAGATAGATAGATAGATAGGTATATAGATAGATAGATAGGATAGATAGGATAGATAGGATAGATAGGATAGATAGGCTAGATAGGATAAATAGGAGACGTAGGAGAAATAGGAAAGATAGGAAAGATAGGAAAGATAGGATAGATAGATAGATAGATCGATAGATAGATCGATGGATAGGATAGGATAGGATAGGCTAGGATAGGATAGGATAGGATAGGATGGGATAGATAGATAGACAGATAGATAGGTAGACAGATAGATATGGTGAAATAGCTTGTAAAGATAGGATACATCGGATAGATAGGATAGATAGGCTAGATAGGATAAATAGGAGAGGTAGGAGAAATAGGAAAGATAGGAAAGATAGGATAGATAGATAGATAGATAGATAGACAGATAGATAGATAGATAGATAGGTAGATAGATAGATAGATAGATAGAGAGAGAGAGATATAGATAGATAGATAGATAGATAGATAGATAGATAATTAGATAGATAGATAGATAGATAATTAGATAGATAATTAGATAGATAATTAGATAGATAATTAGATAGATAGATAGATAATTAGATAGATAGATAGATAGATAGATAGATAGATAGATAAATAGATAGATAGATAGATAGATAGATAATTAGATAGGTAGATAGATAGATAGATAGATAAATAGGTAGATAGAGAGATAGATACATAGATAGGTAGATAGGTAGATAGGTAGATAGGTAGATAGGTAGCCGGGATGAGATGCGATAGGACAGAATGGGACAGGACTGAATAGGATGGATAGGATAGAATTGCATTTGAAAGGATGTGATAAGATAGGATAGGCTAGGAGAGGAAAGGTCGAGGAAATGGTCTCGGAAGTTGGATGTAAACATTGGATAGATATAGGTCAGGGTTGGATAGGTGAGAATAATTGGACAGATAAGACAAACACGACAGATCGGACAAACAGGAAACCTAGGATAGATAGAGCAGATAGGACAAATAGGCACAGAATCTCCCAAATCTCCTGGAACCGTCTAGAACCTTCCACAATCTCCAAGCCAGCCGCACTTTAACCTTGCTCTGGGCTCAATCCCTGGAGCTGGGACTGCTGGGCAAAATTGCAAACTAGGTTTGAAAAAAGAGGTGCAAGGCTAGAAAAAAGAGGTGCAAGGTTAGAAAAAAGAGGTGGCAAGGTCAGAAAAAAGAGGTGCAAGGCTTGAAAAAAGAGCTGCAAGGTTAGAAAAAAGAGGTGGCAAGGTCAGAAAAAAGAGGTGGCAAGGTCAGAAAAGAGAGGTAGCGAGGCAAGGTTAGAAAAAAGAGTTTTCCAAGGTTAAAAAAAGAGGTAAGGTTAAAAAAAAGAGACGCAAGGTTAAAAAAAAGAGGGGCCCCCTATATATATATATAACTTCGAGCATTTATGCAAGTCCTGAATTGCAAGCGGTCTGAATTTCAAGTCAAGTGGATCAAAACTCAAGGTTGCCAAGAAAGGCTCTTGCATCACCTTCAAGTTTCTTGCACTTTGAAGTTGCCGGGTGATCAATACTCCTTTCAGTCACGGATTCAAGGTATTAAAGGGATGGTGAGCCGGTGAGCCTAGAAGTGCTGTGTCTGCCACTGCAGTGTCCGCGTTTGCGTGCAGTTTACACTAAAGTTTAAACACATGTTTGCACATGTTTGTACACTGCACGCATCTCTTCCATCGTTCACAGTTCACATCACATTCAAACATAGCAAAGCATCCAGGCCCATGGTGTCGAGGTCATGTGAGGTCAGCCGCCTCACCAGCTTACGACTCTTTTCATGCCAAACTGAACCATCTTCAAATATCTTCAACCATTCCACACATTTCTACACAGAAAGCCTGGAAAACCCAGTCTCGCAACGCAAGGGCCACTTGTACTTTGTTAAGCTTATTCACGTCATATCGCGTCATTTCACGTCATTCGAATTTGATTTTTGATGCTGACATAACCTTTACGATATGCATCCCAGTGGCGCATTGCCCTCATCCCAAAAGTTGCTGTCGATGTCTTCGAGCTCGGTGCCTTCCTTCATGGTGGCCGCCCGAACCGCTGTGAACGTCAGCGCTTGGGGTAACAACAGCAACAGCGACAGCAACAACAGGATGGGCCTGGTAACTTATTGTATTTTCATGTGTTTTCAATAATAGGATCTAAGGATTTTGCTCATGAAGTTCTGGAAAAGAAGGGGCGGCAGCTCTTTTCCTTTGTTGCTGACATATGTCTGCGCATGCTGAAAGACCCAAGCCCAGATTTGAGGTTTCCTTTGATTGTCTTTCTTTGTTCGTTCACTTTTGACATGTTTCACCAGGTATTTGTTCGGATACTTTTGCTGCAGCACAGTCCACTTCATGAATATATCTCCGTGGCATCGTATGAGCTTCATTGGCGAGCAATGCGGGGCATATGTACAGTACAGTATATGAACGTTACTGCCCTGCCCCACCCCAACCACAACAACAACAACAACAACCACAACAACCACAACAACCACAACAACCACAACCACCACAACAACCACGACAACCACAACAACCACAACAACCACAACAGCCACAACAACCACAACCACCACAAACAACCACCACAACCACCACAACAACCACAGCAAAAGCAAAAGCAAAAGCAAACAACAAAAAACAAACAACAAGCAACAAACAACAACACTAGCAACCAAAGAAACTTGCAACCAAAGAAACTTGCAAGTTATCATCGAATTGATACCCCACTGAAGTGGGATATGACAAGATGTAGTTTTTAATTAAGTAATTAAGTACGGTAAATTAATGCCATTCTAAGGTCACAAGAGGCCCGTGAATCAGCACTCGGGTTGAGTTGGCACCGATTTTGCAGTTACTTTGAATAATGATATTCAATGTGCGGAAAACAAGAGGACTCCTGAATGTTCATATGAATTTGCTGGTTCTTGCAACATCACCAATGCACTACCTTGATAATGCGGACAAGGTGCAGGGTAGCGGGTGGCAATATCTGTCATTCGCTCATGAAGCTCTGACCCAGCTGCAGCACTCCCCTAAGCTCGGCTTAGAAGGTGGGCAGTTTCAAGCGGGTTCAAAAGATTCCTCAAGTATCTTGATTGGTTTGATTATAATAGTATATGTAAAATATAATATATATATATATTATATATATACTTGTACCAGTAGTATCCGCACGAGGCGGGGCGGAAGTTGCCTTAAAGATATATGGGGGTTGTCCAAAATACCTTTTCCCGGACAGCCCTCAATCGCTCAGCCAATCGCGTAGCAACCGCGGTACCACAGTGAGCAATCGCGGAAGGGTTTGTTCTTCGTTGATCAGATCATATACATAAAATATAAATTATGTATTATATAATGAATCGCGACAAAAATCTTATGCTAATTCTTTGTAATATCATTGCTTTTCTGCTGAATTTGAAACATGTTTGCCGCCTCGTGTCAATGGGATTTAAAAGCAAAGGCAGAAATTCCTAGGTGTACTAGTGGTAGTGGTGGTGCAGTAGCAGCGGGTGTGGTGGTAGTACTAAGAGTAGTAGCAAGTCTATTAATGAGAGTAAGGATCCATGCGTGAACGCATTCGATTTCAACCTGCGCGGTCCGGAAACGGTCCGGAAAACTCACAGTAGTACCAGCAGCAGCAGCAGCAGCAGCAGTAGTAGTAGTAGGGGTAAGAGTAGGAGTAGGAATAGGAGTAGGAGTTCTAGTAGCAGGGCAAGGGAAGAAAGGGAGAGGGAGGGAAAGAGAGAAAGAGAGAAGAGAGAGAGGGAGGGAGGGGGGAAACAGATGGTTGCGTTTGGCCGGTTTCTGACGGGTTTCTGACTGGTTTCTGACTGGTTTCTGACCCTTCAGCGGGACTCGTGTCAATTGGATTTAAAAGCAAAGGCAGAAATTCCTAGGTGTACTAGTGGTAGTGGTGGTGCAGTAGCAGCGGGTGTGGTGGTAGTACTAAGATTAGTAGCAAATCTAGTAATGAGAGTAAGGATCCATGCGTGAACGCATTCGATTTCAACCTGCGCGGTCCGGAAACGGTCCGGAAAACTCACAGTAGTACCAGCAGCACTAGCAGTAGCAGTAGCACTAGCAGTAGCAGTAGTGGTAGTGGAAATTGGCATAGGAGTAGGCGTAGGAGTTCTGGTAGGAGGGTGAGGGAATAGGCAAGGGAGAGAGAGAGAGAGAGGTTGCGTTTGCCCGGTTTCTGACTGGTTTCTGACTGGTTTCTGACTGGTTTCTGACCCTTCAGCGGGACTCGTGTCAATTGGATTTAAAAGCAAAGGCAGAAATTCCTAGGTGTACTAGTGGTAGTGGTGGTGCAGTAGCAGCAGGTGTGGTGGTAGTACTAAGAGTAGTAGCAAGTCTAGTAATGAGAATAAGGATCCATGCGTGAACGCATTCGATTTCAAATTTGGGAGCAAAATAAGCTTGCGCGGTCCGGAAACGGTCCGGAAAACTCACAGTAGTACCAGCAGCACTAGCAGTAGCAGTAGCACTAGCATTAGCAGTAGTGGTAGTGGAAATTGGCATAGGAGTAGGCGTAGGAGTTCTGGTAGGAGGGTGAGGGAATAGGCAAGAGAGAGAGAGAGAGAGAGGTTGCGTTTGCCCGGTTTCTGACTGGTTTCTGACTGATTTCTGACCATTCCGTGTAACTTTTGTCAAGTGGAGAAAAGCAAAGGCAAAAATTCTTCGGTGTAGTAGTGGTAGCGGCATTGCAGTGGTAGCGGCGCTGGTGGTAATACTGAGAGTAGTAGCAACACTAGTAGAAGGATCCGCCCATGAACGCATTCGTTTTCATATTTGAGAAGAAAAGAAAATTGCGCGGTCCGGAAACGGTCCGGAAAACTCACAGTAATACCAGTAGTAGGAGTAGGAGTAGGAGTAAGAGTAGGAGTAAGAGTAGGAGTAGTAGTAGTAGTAGCAGCAGTAGTAGTAGTAGCAGCAGTAGTAGTAGTAGGGGTAAGAGTAGGAGTAGGAATAGGAGTAGGAGTTCTAGTAGCAGGGCAAGGGAAGAAAGGGAGAGGGAGGGAAAGAGAGAAAGAGAGAGAGAGAGAGGGAGGGAGGGGGAAACAGATGGTTGCGTTTGACCGGTTTCTGACGGGTTTCTGACTGGTTTCTGACTGGTTTCTGACTCGTTTCTGACCCTTCAGCGGAACTCGTGTCAATTGGATTTAAAAGCAAGAGCAGAAATTCCTAGGTGTACTAGTGGTAGTGGTGGTGCAGTAGCAGCGGGTGTGGTGGTAGTACTAAGAGTAGTAGCAAATCTAGTAATGAGAGTAAGGATCCATGCGTGAACGCATTCGTTTTCATATTTGAGAAGAAAAGAAAATTGCGCGGTCCGGAAACGGTCCGGAAAACTCACAGTAATAGCAGTAGAAGTAGGAGTAAGATGGAGTAAGAGTAGGAGTAGGAGTAAGAGTAGGAGTAGGAGTAGTAGTAGGAGTAGTAGTAGTAGTAGCAGGAGTAGTAGTAGTAGTAGCAGTAGTAGGAGTAGTAGTAGTAGTAGGAGTAGCAGGAGTAGTAGTAGGAGTAGTAGTAGTAGTAGGAGTAGGAGTAGTATCAGGAGTAGTAGTAGTAGTAGGAGTAGTATCAGGAGTAGTAGTAGTAGTAGTAGCAGCAGCAGCAGCAGTAGTAGTAGTATAGTAGTATAGTAGCAGTAGTAGTAGTAGTAGTATTTGTAGTCGTAGTCGTAGTCGTAGTCGTAGTCGTAGCCGTATAACCAATCGCCAACCAATCGCTCAGCCTATCGCGATGCAGGTTTTGGCAATCGCGCAAAGCAGAGTAAACGCATCAATTCATAAATTTGTTATATGCTTTTACGGACGGCTCCCATATATATAATATATATATATTATATATATATAAGACCATTCTCATCTATAGAATCGCTCAGCCTATCGCGATGCAGGTTTTGGCAATCGCGCAAAGCAGAGTAAACGCATCAATTCATAAATTTGTTATATGCTTTTACGGACGGCTCCCATATATATAATATATATATATTATATATATATAAGACCATTCTCATCTGTAGAACTTGCATGCGCCGTGCGCCAGCCAAGCCCGTGCGTGCGTGCACCCTGCGAAAGTGGTGTCCTGTTTCACATGTCACATTTGAAGCTCCACTTCGCCCTTCACACTTCTCACTGCACTCTTCACACTCCACACTGCACACTTCACACTTCACACTCCACACTTCTCACTTCACACTGCACTCTTCCCAATCCACACTTCACACTTCACACTCCACACTTCACACTTCACAGTCCACACTTCACACCTCTCACTTCTCATTGCTTTCTTCACACTCCACACTTCACACTGCACTCTTCACGCCCCACACTTCACACTGCACTCTTCACACTCCACACTTCATCTCATCTCTTCTCATATGTCATCAAGCTTTCATGAATCACTTCCTAGTACTACTACGAAGGAACTTGCGCGCGCCGTGCGTCAGCCAGGCCCGTGCGTGCGTGCTTTGTGCGAAGCTGTTGCAGTGTTGCTGTCCAAGAACATGACCTGCGCGCGACCCCGGTACAATGCAAACACTTTCCCCGGTACTTGCATTTCATCTCAACTCATCTCATCTGAGCTCTTCTCATCTCGTTCCATGTCTTCCCAAATGTCAGCTAAGTTCTTCTCAAGTACTTCCCAGTACTGATGTCTACTACAAAAGCTTGCAAAAACAACTTCCCAGTACTACTTTGTACTACAAAGCTTGCACAAAACACTTCCCAGTACTACTTTGTGGTGCACAAATTGCACAAAGCACTTCCCAGTACTACTTTGTACTACAAAGCTTGCATAAAGCACTTCCCAGTACTACTGTGTACTACAAAGCTTGCACAAAGCACTTCCCAGTACTACTGTGTACTACAAAGCTTGCACAAAGCACTTCCCAGTACTACTGTGTACTACAAAGCTTGCACAAACTACTTCCCAGTACTACTTTGTACTACAAAGCTTGCACAAACTACTTCCCAGTACTACTTTGTACTACAATGCTTGCACAAAACGCGTTCCAGTACTACTTTGTTCTACAAAGCTTGCACAAACTACTTCCCAGTACTACTGTGTACTACAAAGCTTGCACAAAGCACTTCCCAGTACTACTTTGTACTACAAAGCTTGCACAAAGCACTTCCCAGTACTACTTTGTACTATAAAGCTTGCACACTTCACTTCCCAGTACTACTTTGTAGTACAAAGCTTGCACAAACTACTTCCCAGTATTACTTTGTACTACAAAGCTTGCACAAAGCACTTCCCAGTACTACTTTGTACTACAAAGCATGCACCAAACACATTCCAGTACTACTTTGTACTACAAAGCTTGCACAAAACACTTCCCAGTACTACTTTGTGGTGCACAGCTTGCACAAAGCACTTCCCAGTACTACTTTGTACTACAAAGCTTGCATAAAGCACTTTCCAGTACTACTGTGTACTACAAAGCTTGCACAAAGCACTTCCCAGTATTACTTTGTACTACAAAGCTTGCACAAAGCACTTCCCAGTACTACTGTGTACTACAAAGCTTGCACAAACTACTTCCCAGTACGACTTTGTACTACAAAGCTTGCACAAAGCACTTCCCAGTACTACTTTGTACTACAAAGCTTGCACAAAGCACTTCCCAGTACTACTGTGTACTACAAAGCTTGCACAAACAACTTCCCAGTACTACTTTGTACTACAAAGCTTGCACAAAACACGTTCCAGTACTACTTTGTACTACAAAGCTTGCACAAAACACTTCCCAGTACTACTTTGTACTGCAAAGCTTGCACAGAGCACTTCCCAGTACTACTGTGTACTACAAAGCTTGCACAAACTACTTCCCAGTACTACTGTGACCAAGCAACCTTAACGCAGCCATTACAATGCGATCTGCAGAGACTGAACTGCAAAGCACAATAGAACTACGCGCAACGGTGTCGGCAATAGCAGCTCCAAAACCGGATCTCGACGCCAAAGCAGAAAAAAGACAATTTTGAAGCACTTTTTAAAAGGATAAAAGGAAAATTACTATTGTGAAAATTGCGAAAATTTGCTGACAAATCACTGTCGCAGCCTAGATGCAGCCACTCCAATACGATTTACGATGTTCAGCTGCAAAAGACAATAGTATTACGCATGCAGCCGCGGCACCGAGCAACCTTCACGCAGCCACTACAATGCGATCTGCAGACACTGAGTTGCAAAACACAATAGAACTACGCGCAACAGTATCGGATATTGCAGCTCCAAAAGCGGATCTCAACGCCAAAGCAGAAAAAAAAATGAAGCATTTTTGAAAAGGATGTTTAAAAGGAAAATTGCTACTGTGAAAATTGCGAGAATTTGCTGACAAATCATTGTCGCAGCCTGGATGCAGCCACTCCAATACGATTTACGATCTTCAGCTGCAAAAGACAATAGTATTACGCATGCAGCCGCGGCACCGAGCAACCTTCACGCAGCCACTACAATGCGATCTGCCACCACAGCTTCAAGAAACGCATAAAACAACGCACACAGACACACCACTCGTTGCAAAACACATAGGAGGAACAATTCGCGCACAAAACGACCACAGCCGCACCCGTCGCACAGACGAGGTACCTTTCATCGTCGGCTGCAGCCACTTTACACGGAAAAACACACGGTTTCGTGCTCCGGCTTCCTCCCCAAACCATAGCCCATGCAACATTCATGCAGCCATTACAATGCGTTTCGCAGCATCCCGTGGCAAACCCGCACCTATCTACGCACGTGGCAACATCAAATGACGACAATGAAGCAGCCATTCCAATGCAATCTGCAACCAGAGATTCAAGAACCGCATAGAACTACGCACACAGACACAACCACTCGTTGCAAAACACATAGGAGGAACAATTCGCGCACAAAACGACCGCAGCCGCACCCATCGCACAGACGAGGTACCTTTCATCGTCGGCTGCAGCCACTTTACACGGAAAAACACAAGGTTTGGTGCTCCGGCTTCCTCCCCAAAACATAGCCCATGCAACATTCATGCAGCCATTACAATGCGTTTCGCAGCATCCCGTGGCAAACCCGCACCTATCTACGCACGTGGCAACATCAAATGACGACAATGAAGCAGCCATTCCAATGCAATTTGCACCCCGAGATTCAAGAACCGCATAGAACTACGCACACAGACACAACCACTCGTTGCAAAACACATAGGAGGAACAATTCGCGCACAAACGACCGCAGCCGCACCCGTCGCACAGACGAGGTACCTTTCATCGTCGGCTGCAGCCACTTTACACGGAAAAACACAAGGTTTGGTGCTCCGGCTTCCTCCCCAAAACATAGCCCATGCAACATTCATGCAGCCATTACAATGCGTTTCGCAACATCCCGTGGCAAACCCGCACCTATCTACGGACGTGGCAACATCAAATGACGACAATGAAGCAGCCATTCCAATGCAATCTGCAACCAGAGATTCAAGAGCCGCATAGAACTACGCACACAGACACAACGACTCGTTGCAAAACACATAGGAGGAACAATTCGCGCACAAAACGACCGCAGCAGCACCCGTCGCACAGACGAGGTACCTTTCATCGTCGGCTGCAGCCACTTTACACGGAAAAACACAAGGTTTCGTGCTCCGGCTTCCTCCCCAAAACATAGCCCACGCAACATTCATGCAGCCATTACAATGCGTTTGGCAGCATCCCGTGGCAAACCCGCACCTATCTACGCACGTGGCAACATCAAATGACGACAATGAAGCAGCCATTCCAATGCAATCTGCAACCAGAGATTCAAGAACCGCATAGAACTACGCACACAGACACAACCCCTCGTTGCAAAACACATAGGAGGAACAATTCGCGCACAAAACGACCGCAGCCGCACCCGTCGCACAGACGAGGTACCTTTCATCGTCGGCTGCAGCCACTTTACACGGAAAAACACAAGGTTTGGTGCTCCGGCTTCCTCCCCAACACAAAGCCGATGCAACATTCATGCAGCCATTACAATGCGTTTCGCAACATCCCTTCGTCACCACTTCCCTTCTTCACCACTTCCCTTCGTCACCACTCCCCTTCATCATCACTTCCCTTCTTCTCCACTTCCCTTCGTCACCACTCCCCTTCATCATCACTTCCCTTCTTCACCACTTCCCTTCGTCACCACTTCCCTTGCTCACCACTTTCCTTCTTAACCACTTCCCTTCCTCACCATCACTTCCCTTCTTCACCACTTCCCTTCTCATCATTCCCATCGTCACAACTCCTCCCTCACTTCCCTTCCTCACCACTTCCCTTCCTCACCACTTCCCTTCGTCACCACTTCCCATCGTCACTATTCCCTTCCTCACCACTCCCCTTCCTCACCACTTCCCTTCGTCACCACTTCCCTTCCTCACCACTTCCCTTCGTCACCACTCCCCTTCATCATCACTTCCCTTCTTCACCACTTCCCTTCCTCACCACTTCCCTTCCTCACCACTTCCCTTCCTCACCACTTCCCTTCCTCACCACTTCCCTTCCTCACCACTTCCCTTCCTCACCACTTCCCTTCGTCACCACCCTGTGTCATAGCTTCTTATTCTTTTTTTGTGTATTGTTAGATAATGTATTGTTCTGTGATCTACCACCCTTCATCATAGTCAATTGCATCAAGTAAAAGTCATTCGTAACTCGGAAGTATTGCTTCCCAACTTCCTTTGACAATACATATCAATTTTTATATCTCTCTGGAATGAAATCCTTTGCGATACCACCACCTGAAAATAGGAACACCGGTAAGATCAGACGCAGTGACACTGCAAAAAAAAAATGGTAAAAGCCATTTGGATGACCACAATTTGGACCCAGAGCTTTCACAGAATTTGCATGGAATTGCCAAGTTGCAATATGAAGCTTGTAGTTTAAGTTTTGTCCACTCTTTTCGTGGTTCCTGGGTCAGCAGGCAGCTTTGGGCAAAGCACAGACAGAAACCTTCGGCCCTGGAAAATGCACAGAAGGTGTATACACGTATGTTTCACTTATGAAAACGGTATTGAAATATGGAAACGCTGCAAGGCATGCAAAGGTGCTCAATTAGTATGATGGGGACTTCAATAACAGCACCTTTGCTTGCGCATCCGGGCAAAGTTCCAATACAACACCAAGCAGGTGGCAACACCTTTCTGCCGGGGAGCTCACGACATCTTCGGTCTATGCAATCACTGGCATCCACAGCCCATACACAAAGTCTGCCTGGTCATGCAATGCACTGGCATTTATTGTTTCCGTTGGTCTCGCAAGACTTGTCAGATATGATATACCGGATATATCCGGATATACCCCTCCATTACAGCTGAATGCTCAATAAGTCTAAAGTTTCGCCTGATCCTGATCTACCAATCGACATGTCAGCGGTTAACCGCAATGGTTTGACGTTCTCTCGGGCTGCTTTACCAGATTGGAGGGTGCACCGTTGCACCGGGCCTTCACAAGGGACGAGTGCCAGGCGTTCATTGTCCAAGGCATCGAAATCAAATGTGTCCAGGCTCTTCAGCAAATAGGTATCTGACAGATCTGACATCATCTGACGGTATCTGATCATATCTGAGCAGTTGCAGTATGATGCAGTATCCGTATCCACGAGAGTTGTCTGCGAGTCCACAAGGCTCAGACTAAGCAGCCCATGGAGGTTCCTAAATAGTTTCAAATCTTGCACGGTAATTCAAGATCTGACATGTTAATGCCAGTGGAGGTCTTGATAACAATTTCCGCTAGCGTGCGCCATGCGCTCGTAAGTCCTAGACGGTTGGTGGCCCCTCAGCCACCCTCAGGGCCTAAAATGGTAGTGCGTCCAGCACGAATATCACCAACCTCAGTAGATGCCATCAGCCAAAACATCAGCAAGGAGTACTGAGTACTGTTTGCCCTGTCTATTGAATCCTGTCTTCCAGCTCCAAAAGTCTTCCGGCTCTCAAAAAAACATTTAAAAAAACGCATAAAAACGTGATGAAACAAGAGACGCCCTGCGCTGCAGTGATGCTGGAATGACTGCATGAAACTGAAAGCTGTGCAGGCAGATCACATCGAACAATCACGCATCTGGAAGGTTTCAACATGTTCAGCATTGCGCCATACAGTGGCTCCCCATTTTTCTGCCACGTGGGCCAGAGCGTTCCACCGCCGCACTTCTGTGCCCACATGCTACATACTGTAATTAAACGAAATGACCAGAATGAAGCTCAAGCAGAACTTACGTCCGCTGTCGCCGCTGTCTGCTTAAAAGTATACACAGGTCCCCAACATGGGGCTGCTACCAGTAGTCCTGGAGCCATCGAAGGCGAGTTCAAAAACGCAATGCCTGGCGCAAAATTCTTCACCTCGCTCGCATCGATGATGCCATCATTGTTGGAGTCTCTGATCGCCGTGAGGTTCCCGCTGTGAGAGCTGGAAAAGAAAACTGTGCCGTCGAATTGGTTGATCACCTGGTGACTTTGGGCCAATTGAGAAACAAAGGTGGCTCACATCCCTTAGTGACTCAGACTTGCTTGGATGGTTAGGTAATAGCTTCGAGAACAAGCAGGACAGGCTAGAAATTCAGAAATACAAATGCATCAGAATGCAAAAAAATGCTAGTGGGAAGTGGGAACGGATCACTTCGACAACATCCAACCAAAGGAGACACGAAGAGACGAAGAGATGACACGATATGGGACGATGATGAGGGCATGATGATGATGATGATCATGATGACCGCAGTGGCAGGCAGGCACTCATCCAGCATGAACCTGCCATGACCCTGCACCCTCCTGCAACCTTCTGATGGCCGGACCTGAATTTCTACCTTGGCCACCAAGAGCCATGGCAATCCCTTACCACCAGTTTGGTTTGAAACTCCTATCTGTGCTATTCTGTACCTGGCCAAAGTCAATGTACCAGGCCTGGAATCTTGGCAGCAGCGGAACCTAGTACAGTAATTAGCTACTATAGCAGGTGGTCAGGACAGGCTCGAAGCTGACACTGGCACAACTGAATCGGTAGTATCTATTGCCGTGGCACTCCCCAAGGTCTGTCGTATGTGGTCTAACACATGAAAACAAATATGCCGGCTGTGGCTGCTTCAAGGCTTTGGCAAGGCACTGGAATACCCTGCGCATCGGGGAGGCAAATCATACCATCAATGCTGCTGATTGCCCCGGGCTCAAAAAAAGCTCTCTCCTCGTCTCCAGCAGCACCAAAGTGATCCCAAACCTAGGTGAAAAAATGCAACAATGTGGAAAGCAAACACTGTGTGCTGCTTTGTTTTTCAACTCTTCAATCTAAACCTTTTGCACCTATATAGTGAAGACAAACCAAGAAAACAAGTCAAGGTCGCTCTGCCAACAAGAAAACAATCAAACGTTTACACTGTGTCCCTCTGGCAATCATGGTTCAGCAGGAAATTCTATTTAGAATGAGATCATCTTGTTCCAATGATTGTCAGAGGGCCAGCTGGACAGACTAAGGACCGGCTCATCGTATTGCCACAGGGTCTCACCAGTTGCAGCATCAAGTGCCATCACCCGGTTGTTGAAATGTGGCACCTGATGCATAGGCGGCTCCAAGGACCAAAACGCACATCAATGCACAAAAAAGTCCCAAATACCCGTCACCATAGAAGTGAAACAGAAGGCAAACCGTCAATTGTTTATAAGGCTCTTGTCTATGTGATAACCTGTTTTCAGTGAATGTAACTCCAGTGCCAGATTAGACTACCAAAGGAATCATTTACAGCAGTGCGGCTCACCCTGCCAGTCACCCACTATTGGATCTATCGGAAGGCCCACCAGACCGGCTGTTCACCCAGTTCACCCCGCCTGCATTTCCGCTCTGAACTCTGGATCAGTCAAATATTTCTGTGTGGCTTCGCCCTTCAGCAAAGGCGGGAGGCCTGTATTTTGGCCCACCCCCACGACAACGGCCAACTTCCCATTAGGACCCAACCGGCCCACAGCAGGATATTGTATCCCTTCGTATCCTTCATCCATATTCTTTTGCCAAAGTTTTTGCCCATTGCTGGCATCATAGGCCGCCACTCTCCCAGCTTTAGCGCTTTTGTTCACATTGCTCTCTGCATAAAAAATGCCATTGGGGCCCATGGCACCTCCGCCCGTGCCGCACATAAAAGGCCAAGGGTCTGGATGTGGCGATGATACCTTCCAAATGACTTGCCCAGTGCTCAAGGAGAGGCGATAAACGGCACCACAACTAGCTGAAAAAATCAGAGAGCTGTCATCGATGGCGGAGGGGGCGAAATTCCAAAAGATGTCATCAGTCTGAAAATCCCACAAGTGAGTTCCGTTGCCCGTGCTTACAGCCCTGAGGCCATTGGCTCCACCAACACGCAGGACAGGATCTGAAGGATCTGCAAAGGGCATCACCAGCGTGCTTCTAACGGCAAGGAGGGAATTGGCTTCAAGGCCACATCTGCCAGACATAGTCACGTTCCAATCAACTGTACCATTTTCCATGTGGATAGCATAGATGTGCATCTTGTCACTGCCACAACCGGCCAAACAGTAGATCTTGCCCCGGTATAAAGTTGGAGCTGTGACCATCTTCTCACCCTGGTGCCAAGTCCACAACAAGTTCCCCAGCTGGTCAAACTTCCGAACCTTTGTGGTCGTTGTCACATAGATGTCCAAATGATCATCGATAAGTGGACTGTGACGCACTTGCTCATGATCCAAGTTTGGCCAAATCCAACTGGGGGTCTGAGAGATGTCAGGCACACTCCAATTCACAGAGCTGCTGGTGAATCTATCGCCTCCACGCTTCGCCCAATAGTAACCTTTTGGTCCAACATTGATGAGAGAAACCGAGCACATAAAATGCACATGTTACATGACTGCCACGACTCAACTTGTCAAAAACGCAGCAAAGTGCAGAATATTTAGACCAGTACATCAAACTGAAACTCTAGCCTTCGTCGCTCTTTTCAGTGAGTTCATAGTGAAGTTTCATCTGTATCCAAGATGTTGCATTTGGGTCTTCACATTCATCAGCAAACGCGGCCAGCGGAAGAAACCAAAGTCTGAAGAGCGCCAACCTGGATAGCAATGCTCGAAAAGCCTGAAGTCTCCGTAACAATTTCCACTAAAATAATCCAAAATATCCAAAATCATCAGCATACAACAAAAACAATCACGCCAATCCCATGAAACTTAAATATGTTGCCAAGTGACATTCTAGGATATAACATGTTTGCTCGGTATGAGCCCTATGGAGATGGAGCACTAAATCGTAGCTCGCAACCAGCAGCACATCTGGCTTGAACCAAGACAATTCCGCAGCACGCCAAATCCCACCCAACTGATCCCAACACGTTCACTGTGCTTGCAGCAAGTTCCCAACCAAAACTCAAGGTGAAAATGGCGGGGTTGTAAGTTTATGGTCTGGCATTCCGTCTGAACATATAGGGCAAATCAACACCAACGACTCAAAACACCTTGGTGGTTCAACATGTTCAACTTAATTACATCTTCAAGCTCAAGTGACATAGTGCGTCTGGTACGCTAAGCGCACTCCACTGCCACCCTCTGGCAAAGCCCGTCCGCGCGCCAGCAAATGCACTTCGGAGGTGTATTGTTGCAATTCCTGCACGCGTCAAATAAAAAGCAAAGTCGTTTCATTCCATGTGGGAAATGAATCCATGCCAACAATCTAAAAACATCTAAGAACCAGTCCACAAACCCCCAAACTTTGAATCCCCTTCAAAAGAAATGTGTTCAACTTCGCCCTGCTGCGCGAACAGCAGTTCGCGACTGGAATGTAATTTGTTCACGCAAACATGTTTTCATCGTTTGTCTATGGGCATGCAGATGTCTTTGTTTCGAGGAAGCTGGCCCCACGCAAGAGCACTCCAATGCCCTCCGTCAGCACAGAGGAGAACTCATTACTTCTCGTGATTTTTGTGTGACTCCCCGCCAGGTCTCTACATCACAGTGCAACGTTCGAGCCAACCACATATATTGGTGCAAATTCTGCAGATTGGACAAGTTGTAGCTGATGCTTTTGTCATAGGTCGTCAATACTTTTCTCAGCTCTCTTTCTCTGTGAACAGTGACCCCTGGGGATGATCCAGTCAAGACATGTCAAAAACCACAAGGCCCCTTTGAGCAGTTGCACGTGTTGCACGTGTTGCACGTGTTGCACGTGTTGCACGTGTTGCACGTGCCTGCGCTGTCTCCAAAGCTGCATTGCCTTGGCCTAAGATCATTACAGCTTTCCCCTCAAAGGGCTCACCTGGCGAAGAACTCAGAGGCTGACTGACTGCCGAAACGCTAATGACTCTCATGACTGCTGAATCCGATAGGGAACTAGTTTGAACTGTTTGAACATGTGCTACTGTTTCAACATGATCTTAATCAACCCATGGTCGCTTCCCTTTTTAGGTCCTGAAAAGGATGCCGCACCCTGTGCTCAACATCAGCTCCATGCCCGGAACAAACGCTGCTGCCTGAGGATGGCAAATCTTCATAAGCCAACAAGAGCTCGCCTGGGATGTGGGTTCCCACGACATGCCACGACTTTGTGCACCGTGACGTGCTGAACCTTCTTTGCATGTGCATATAAAATGGTTTGTTTATCTGTTCGTTTTTGTGCTCATGTGGATACATTTTGCGTACATAACAATATATTTATATATATAGTCTACATATATATAATAATACTGTAATCTATATATATATATATGCACACACGTATGTAATGTGCAAAATTAATCATTTTTTAATCTTCATATAACAAGCCATGCCTTGGTCTCTTTTGATCTTTCTATTTCAACGGGTGTGATGTATATTGATATATGCGCATGTATGGGAGATGTGTGTGTGTGTATGTGCGTTCGCCATTTTTCTCCATATAAACAAATGTGCAGAATCATCATGTATATATATATATATATATGTCTATATACATATATATTTACACTGATAACTGATGTATATGTCTAGGTGGAATTTTACGTAGGAGAGAAGAGGAGAGACTTCATGCAGTGGGCTGCAAGGGCAAGAGACCCTTTCGATGCCAGGAAGTGAAAGTGAAAAAATGGAGAAGAAAAAGAGAGGGAGAGAGAGGAGGAGAGAGGGAGAGGATAATTATATACATTTTGCACAAAAACCAAATAAATAAATCAATATATTAAATTATACTAATATATTCGCTGAAAAACCGCAGGACGCCGCGAAACATTGAAATGCTGTCCCCGACCACTTTGGCTCAGTCAAGCCGCTGCCGTCCACCTTTTCGGCCCCGCTGCGTGGCAAGAAAAACCCAGTGGCCAATACCAGCTCTTGGCAATGGCAGCGCGTTAGACCTGCAGAAATATGCAGACATATGCAGACCATGTGAATCCATAGGAGACCATGTGCAAGAGACCACCTCAAGATCACTGGACACTGCCGGACTAGTGAAATTGTTGAAATTGAAATATATGAATAAGTATGTTGAGATGGCATGACATGAATTGAAATGATTTGAAATGATGTGAGACACCGGCTCTTGCAACTCACAAGATGTTCTGTGAACTTCTCCGCCACATATCGCGGCCGTGCCTGTCCCTGAGAGCTGCAACTCAAAACGACTTTCTGCTGACTGCACTGGCAGCACCTCACACGTTTGATTAGAGGTCGATGCAGCGTCGATATCATGTTGAGCACATTGACACTCGGGGTACTTCACAATCTGAGCACAATCCCAACCCCAACGGATCATAACGTATCCAAGTGGGCTCAAGTCTTTCCACCACGCGAAAGGCGAGCCTTCAACACCTCGGTGTTGTAGCGGATGTGATCCTGCTGCTCCGCTGCGAACTCTTGGAGGTACTCAGAAAGCACCGAAGCCTCGGGTCAGGGGCATTCATCGCAGCTGCAACAATAACAGTCAATAACAGGAATGCAGTGGGCTAATCTGGGTTCATTATGTTAATTATGCTCCATGCAGCAGTGGGTTGATTCGTGTGATCGCTTGTTTTTCATAGAATTTGATAGGCATCAAAGAAAGGCATCAAGAATGCGACACGTATGATCTTGCAGCTCGTCTGATCAAACAAAGTTCCCACCAACGCGACTACACCTACCGATCCCTCCATATGCCCCGCATCCTGGGGAAAAAAAAACAAGATATGATAAGGATTGAAAAGGCATGGCGAGGCACATGCGGGAAGAGCACTTTGGAACGCTCAGTGACGGGTTTCGTGCGCAAGGATTCCTGGCAGCGGTTCCATCATGTTCCATTGATTTCAGTCCTACAACTCATTTCGAGATTTCTTCCATGAAGGACTCTGCGAGCGACTTATTCATTCTCTTTCACCTGGATAAAGACCCGGATTGAATGTAAAAACATGCAAAAAACTGTAAGAGTGATCCTGGCCAGAGATGCCAATATTATGTATATATTATATATATATATTATATATATAATATTATATAATCCAATTACCTCACAGGACTGGGCTCACCTTCCGTGAAAAGGTGAAGAGTTTTCCAAGTTCCAGGCACCTCGCCTCGCGGACATCAATCAGCGAGTTCCAGTCATGTCGGAAAGCAAACTCTGCGCTTCGGTCGTCTCGAACTTTCCTGGGCTTGGAATGAGGACAGGACGCCCCAGTGGCCCAGGCATTTCCAAAAAGCAAAGGACCCAGGAACAATGAGAAGCACCTCGCCAAAAGTATCACTCCTCGTTGTCGTTGTCATTAAGGTTCCGGTTGTGGTTATGGTTGTTGTTGTTTTTTATTCTTTTTCTTCTTCTTCCTCTTCTTCTGCTTCTTTGTTTTCGTCTTCTTCTTCTTTTTTCTTTCTTTTTTCTTCCTGCTGTTGCTGTTGCTGTTGCTGTTGCTGTTGCTGTTGCTGTTGCTGTTGCTGTTGCTGTTGCTGTTGCTGTTGTTGTTGTTCTTGTTCTTGTTCTTGTTCTTGTTCTTGTTGCTGTTGCTGTTGCTGTTGCTGTTGCTGTTGGTGGTGTTGTTGTTGTTGTTGTGGTGGTGGTGGTGGTGGTTGTGGTTGTGGTTGTGGTTTTGGTTTTGGTTGTTGTTTTTGTTTTCTGTGTTATTGTTATTGTTGTTATTGTTGTTATTGTTGTTATTGTTGTTATTGTTTGTTATTGTTGTTATTGTTGTTATTGTTGTTATTGTTTGTTATTGTTGTTATTGTTGTTCTGGTTCTTGTTGTTCTTGTTGTTCTTGTTGTTCTTGTTGTTCTTGTTGTTATTGTTGTTATTGTTGTTCTTGTTGTTCTTGTTGTTTATGTTGTTCTTGGTGTTCTTGTTGTTCTTGTTGTTCTTGTTGCTCTTGTTGTTCTCTTGTTGTTTGGGTTGTTCAGGTTGTTCTGGTTGGTCTGTTTGGTCTTGTTACTTGCTGGTGTTGTTAATTGTTGTTACTTGCTGGTGTTGTTACTTGCTGGGTTTTTCTTCTTCTTCTTCTTCTTCTTCTTCTTCCTCCTGTCGTCAGCACGGACGCAGCCCAGTAAGACTAGTCGGGAAAATTCAGGGCTCATGAAAAATAGCCCGACCCCCAATCCCAGTTCCGCCATGTAATGCAGCAGAAAGTCCGCTTGTTGAGAGAGATGAGCTTGCGATGTCTAGGGTAGTGCTCAAAAAAGCTGCCAGGTCGAGCTTGCCTCTGCCATGTGGCATTGGAGACTGTCACAAGTACCTTTTCCAACCTGTCTAACCGGGATGAAGATGGGAAACAACATACCCCCCAAAAAAAATGGCTAGCTACAGTAAGACACTCAACGGCAGAGGTATAACACTGTGAGATACGGACTGCTGCTACACAAATCTTAAAAGGCCCAGACCGTGAAATGGTCGACGGTCTCCAAACATCGCAATTCTGGCGCTTCTTCGTTAATCATACCGATCCTTTGCATAGCTGCGTGGAGATCCAACCCTTCCTGGCTTAGGATCCAACTCGTGACATCTTGTAACATGGACCCTGTCCCTCTCAGAACAGTCTCCGCCCCTTTTGAAGTAATTCAGGCCTTTCAAAGATCACATAATCTCGATGAGCATGTTTCAGGAAGTGACCCAGCTGCACACCAGCAGGTCCAGCGCCTGCAGGCTCTGGCGATGTCTGAAGAATGTGTGTGTGCGGGTAGGGTGGGCTGTGAGGCTCTAATCTCGAAGGGACACAATCCTTCAACAATCAATCAATTAAAATATAAATGACTGTGATTGAGTGGTTCGGTGTTTCGGGCGACTGCATGTACACCAGTATGCTGGACAAGCATCACGGGTGGAAGAGGAGGACACGCCTATGATGCAGTACTGATGCTGTTCAGCTGAAACCAGAAACAGCAATGCCAGCCATGCAGGAAAAGGCCGCAACGGCGACGCAGGCCACATCTGAGAACTTGTAATCTGCTGCTTGTTGAGTTTCTTGATGTTTCTTGTCAATTCTGGCTCAGGGTGAAGGAGCAGTTGGAACACCTCAGGTTCTGATTCATCTTTCATCATCGTTCAATTGTTTTTACGTGTTGTCATCCTGATGTTGGAACAAAAAGACACGCCGCAGTTTTTCAGTAGGGCCTGTTGGCCGATGCAGTATAAGTACAGCATTCACCCATTTCATTCCATGTCTGATCTAGCTTTCTCGGAGGATCCTGTTCTGACAGTTTGAATCAGGGCACATAGAGCTCATTGATCTGTCTCATTCCTGCTCGCCGGTTGATCCCTTGCTCTTGTGTCAAATGTTAATGTAATGCCAGAACCGGCTGCGGCTGATGACACATCCAGAACCTGTCGAAGCTTGCAGTGGTGGAATGTGGTGGCTCTTAAGAGTTAGTGACATATCCACTGACGCAATCTGACGCAAGCTAATACTGCGCGAAGCTTTGTGCTTTTCAGGCGACCCGTATGCCTCTCACTCTAGCAGCGCTGCTCAAGGACTGCTGCAGTGGCATTTCATCACTGCGTGCATCTGCGTGCAAGCAAAGGTCATGTCGATCAGGCGCAAAGTGCAGTTGCTGCTGTGTCCATCAGAGTAGCTCAATTTTCTGGGACGACCACTACTCACTAAGTCTTTGCCAATTTGCAGCGGTGGTGAGAAGCACAATCTGGGACTTCTGTGCGTTAGATGGCTCGAAGGCCCACAGACATGTAGCAAACGAAACCACAGACAGGTAGCCTCGCGCTCGCCGCTACCTCTTGGTCCGCCACTCGTGCTAAATCTCTGCGGCCGATTTTGCTCCAGGCCTCGATGTGCCTTGCAGAAATAGCACCGGGTAGCACTAACCCTGCATCAGTTTCATCCTGTCCACCAAGAGACGTTCCATTGCATCGATTTTCTTCAGCCCAGCATGGATTCAGGGTGATTCCATGTGATTCCAGCATGGAAGTCAGCTGTCAGCTTCGTTGTCGCAGGACTTCTTGAGCAAGTCGTCTCCCGATATCTTACGGCATCTTACGACCTGGAAGGCATCCACGCCTGGGTGGGCGATCTGAGCCACTCTTGATGCACTTTGGTGAGACGAGAAGCCACGTAACCTTGGATGGCACTGGCAAGACTGGCAAGACCGCATCGATGGGCGGTTCGGCGGTTCGGCGGTTCGGCGGTTCAGGATTGTGGAAGGGCAACCCCGTAATTCTCATTCCGCAGTGTTGTTCAGGGCTGAAATCTATTGAAATCTTTTGGGGGGAAGATGCAAAAACAATCAAAAACAATCTCGCAAACCTAGACTGAGCACAAGACAAGCCAGTCGAGGGATATATAGGTTCTTGATGGTTCTTGTGATTGCTCACCATTTTTGCTGAGGTCGCTGTGAGTTCATGAATAATCCAAGTGTTTGGCCCAGGTTTTGTATGGTTTTATATATTGTATTTCCGGAGGATTCCTGATTCAGTCTTGCGGCACTCTTGCTGCATTGGAGACCCTGATGATGGATGGCGTACAATGATACTGTATAGCATTGTATAGCATTGTATAGCATTGTATAGCTGTATTTCTTCCGGGGCCTTCATTTTTGGGGAATTTCGCGGGGTCACCTTCACGGAGCGTTCTCCCGGCCTTGTGGCAACGATTCTCAACTGTGGGAAGATCCCCACATGAACTCCCCCGTAACTCTTTTGAGGGTTGACATGAGTCACGTGGTCGAAATTGGTCGATAGTGGTTTCACAATCCAGACCCGGGCTCCGTCCTGCAAAGTCCCAAGCTTTCTGGATGTGCGCTGTGCTGAGACGGGACAGGTTTCAGATGGTTTCAGGAGGTTCTTGGTTCCCCTCTCTTCGTTGCAGAAATGATGAAAGTCGAGATGCCACATTTGTTCAAGTGCTCCCGCATCTTCTGCAGTGCCACAGGTTCCAGGGTCAGCTGTCGCGACATCACCCATAGAGCTTTTTTATCTGAGGTACCAATCATAGCAGCCTGACATTGGGAGCCCTCGGGCTGTATCAATAAGTTGTAGACCTGAATCATCTCTGATAAATCGTTGCCAGCTTTGTAATGCATGTACGTTGATTCTTCAACGCATTGCTGTGCAGAATTTCTTGTCTACCAGATTCTAATCAGACTCTCTGACTGTCCCAACTTCCCACCTGGGCATCTTCAGAACCTTGGGCCACTGGCAAGGACCCCTGAAACATGCCGCGTGATATCATGTCAGCGGCGAGAGGGGAAAAAATAGGTTCCTAGATTTTTGCTCTTTGGCATTTCCTTTTTGGATCCCTTTTAACCTTTGTTGTACAGGTCAAGACATGTCAAAACAAATCTAAAATGATGTGGCTCATCTTGTGGGAGTTGGAAGTTAAGGTGGATAATTTCTGGATACTCCAAAAAACAATCTGGATGTTGCCCGGCAATGGGTACCAGGTATGACTCATATCATACAGCTCTTGACTTTCCACCCTCCAGGAATGGGACTAGTTACTAGCTGATTCGTTGGGCTGGGAGTTTCACTGTGCAGCCATCAACCCCAGGGTGAGGTGGGAACTATCCAGTGCCAAAGGCAATTGTTTCCACGGGTTTGCAATATTTTGTTGCATAATGTTGTATATCATCATCGTTGTTTTCGTTCTGTTCTCGTTTTGGTCACGGAGTCTTGCCCGGCCCGGCCTGGGCATGAAGAGCTCATGCTCAAAGTGTCTAGACATGTCTAGACCACTCAAAGTATACTGGGGCGAGCGGCAATCTCCATCACGTCTTATCGACACTAGTTTTTTTTGTACAGACTTTTTATGCAAGCATGCTGAAGTTTGGGCCTGATAACACCCTTGTTGTGCATCTTTGTTCATTCATTATTGTTTACCTGCCATGAGCACGATTTCTAGCCTTGATCTGACATGTCGGGGGGGTTACACTTCCAGAGTTTGAATGGTCCAATAAAACGCTCCCCTTCGACATATTTCGATCTCTTGGTGTCAGGCAGTAGACAACCACGTAGTCCGGGAACCTGCAGCATACATATCAGCAAGTGCTGCAGTCACCATCACTCACCCCTACTATCCCTACTATCCCTACTCGCATCATCCATGCCAAACCCCGGGTATTGGTTCCATCATGTTCCATCGCATTGTCTGGACCGCTGGAGAAAAAACCTCTGTGGCCAAGGCATTTCACTATACACTGTATCTTGGATTGCTTGATTTCTGGCCAGTACCATGTCCAAAAATGTGCCGAGTGGCTGAGCGTTCGGAAGCCCCAGCTGCGGTTTTTTTTGCCAGACCAACTCTGACACGGGGTGCAAGTGCTCCTCAAACTCTGTGCATTATGCTCTGGCAAACGGTTCATATCGGTTTATGATGTCTTGGATTCAGTCAGTACTTCTCAAGTACCCATCAAAGCGCATGTAATGCGAGGTGTCCACAAGGACAAGTCATTAGAAAGAACTCTTGGGATAGGGGTCTGCTGATTCTTCTCACCATGGTTTTCTTTCAATCCGTGCGCAACGTTGCAAGGCTCCATTCATCCAGAGAGATACAATCACATCTAATCCATGTAATGTATTCAATCACATCTAATCCATGTAATGTATTCAATGTATTCCAAGCATGTGTGAGCTACGTTCTTGGTGTGGGAAGAGCTCCCTGACATTCCCTGACCCTCCTTCAATGCACAGAACGCAGCAAACACCACTTGTTCAGGCCTCTTCAATGGCCCGGAGTTCGCCCTTGCGGCTGATGTAGCGCGCAATGATGAAGCACCTGGATGTGACTGCGACCGCTTTCCCTGTTGAGCGACAAAGCTGCGCGATGGCTCTCCTGAAATTCAACATATTTCAACATCGCACCTAGAGACCTCCACATGGGTTTTGAGAGTCACTTCATCCATCTTCATCCTCATGGGGATGTCTGCCCAACACAAGCCCATGCCAAGTGCAATCCCAGAAGCTCGCTGGGGTCCCATTTGTACTCCCTCACCAGGTTTCTTTCGCTCTTATCCTGCAAGTTCAAGAAGTCCAGATATTCTTCAAACCCCAGTGATGTTTAGCATCTGCCAATCTAATCTGGTTTGGGGCTTGATTCTGGCCGAGCCAGCCAGTAAATAGCAAGATTAGGCAGAAAATTGTGCGTGTGATTACTCTAATTCTGTTGCAATGTAGATTCAACACAGCTAATCAATTAATTAGTTGTGCAAGAGAAATGCAGTTTCATTATGAGTTTTCACCCTTCAGAAGGGCTGGGAAGGTGGCTGGGCCACAGAGTGCTGCAATGTGCTGCACATGTGCTCAGGATGGCGCATTGTCCTCTTCTTTGCCGCTGGATATGCGCCAAATAACATACCTTTGTCGAACTTCAATGAATGAAGCATGATGGGTGTGCGCCTATAGGGCCTATGGTTGCCCGAACTTCCACACAGTGTGGATAACTCATTGAAAAATAACAATGTATAAATAATTATCAATATATCATTTAATATGATGACATATCTACTCATGCCATCTACCCATACCCCATACCTTCCATACCTTGATAGATCTTGACTGTCGCATCATGTCGCCACGGTGCCATCGACCCAGGACTCGGTCCAGGTGGAATCGACTTGGATCCTGGGTTCGGTACGTGAAGCTGCGCTTCGCCATCTTCAACAGCAGCCGCAAGAGCAAACAAGCCATGAAATCTGACTGAGATCTACGAAGCATAAATATATATTAATATATATATATCATATAAAACATGAATGGAACAAAATGGAACAACATGAAAGTATATCAAAATAAATATGATGAAAGGAACAAAGTGGAACAATATAATTGAATAAGAGTTAATGCTTCGAGAAAGCGAAGCAGCCACTCAGCCACTCAGACTCACCAACCCAAACCTAGAGGTAACATCAGGCACTGAGCCACTCAGCCACTCAGCCACTCTGCTTTGAGAATAGCGGAGGGGCACTCTACCAGAGTGGCCGAGT